TAGAAATCCGACATGTATCCCATGAAGAGGGTGGAAAATATATTACAAAGTATGGTTTTAATAAAAGCCATAGGAAAAAGTACAAAAATATTCGTTGTTATACGGTGACCGAACCAACAAGAGTCTGTGAGTAAAGTAAAATTTAAAAAAAAAAGGGTACCAATTTACCCAGTACCTTAAACTTGGGTTTTTTTAACACAACCTTTAATAGAAAATATTAGCCTGGTAAAATACGGTCGACTGTTAACGAATATTTTAACTACGAGAGTATAATGTGTTACTTGTTTTGAACTTAATTAAAAGTCAAAAACTTGCAAAAAATTATTAACCTTTTGAGCTGGTTTGTTTTTTTTATTCATTTGAAACGATTATATTTTTCATTTCATTTGTTATCTATTGTTCTGTTTGACTTTGGAACAACTGTAGCCGCGTTTATTTATCAAACAACTTTCAGAATATAAAGTGTAAACCAACGTTAAATTGTTTACACATTGTTTGATCCACTTAGATCCACACATTCTGTAAAAAAAAAAATTGTATCGCCACACTTAGTCAACAAATAAAAAAACAGTTAATTATGAATCATAATTTGAATATCATAATTTATGATATTCAAATGAAATTGTTTTACATTAAAAACAGCGCGGTTGATAATTTAATATAACTTTATAAATATACAAACACAATTGCTTGTGGGATTCATAGCTATAAAAATATATCCGAAAAAACGCGATAGTCTTGTGGAATTCGAAACTGTGCAGCTTTTGTACTTATATACATATTGATACACATACTATATTATGACCGTACTATGTAATTTTTCTAATACTAAGATATGTTGTAAATTAAAAGCAATAACGTTGTATAATTTATATGCCGTCCAGTATTAAGCGAGCTATCGTGTCGAGCTTAAAATTGTAAATTAAATTAGTATTATTTTCATTGGCGCTTTCAAACGGTGTTTAGAGTTTATTGTTCACGAGCATCAAGTAGTACACAACGATAGTGTAATAATATTAAATAATATATTCGCGTGTATCGACAATGCAATTACGAAACGGTAACGGTGAACAGCGTGGGCTTCACTGAAACTAAACGGTCAATATTAGAGCTTCGTCCGAATCGTCGATAACCGTATGTTATTGCATTAAACTGCGCCAATAGACGTCCAACGTCGTTATTGTATTAGCCGGAAAAAAGCAATCGTTTTGAACCGGATCCCAATAAATTATCGACTATGGAAAAAAATAAGTAAAATCATCAACGAAACTGAGACTTTTGTAAACAAGTTAAAACGTAGCATAATATGAAAGTTAAAATGGCCAAACGCAAGTCAAATTTTTGTAAATAATATTTTTTTCCTCATAATATTAATGGGAACGGAAAGAGCAAAATGTCATATGGAGTAAGACTAAAATGGGTTATTACCAACTTTCGGAGAAATCTACCGACCAATTTCAAAAACAAATTTTGTTATACAATTTAATATTTTATGTGGCCGATTTCTAATTTTGGGTATTAATCGACTTTAAACTTTTGTTTTTAATCTATATATATATATATATAAATGAATGCATGTCTGTGTGTCTGACTTTTATGCATCAGTACACCATCCGATCGCCATGAAACTTGGGAAAGTTGTGGGTTAAAGGCACAGGCCGATTCTATGTATCACGATTCTGCAGACGCTAACATTTTCACGATTGGAGCTGGATCTGGGACTGGGACTGAGGACCTTCTAGAGAAAGTTGTAAGCTTTCCATAATAGAAAAAAGGTTTGAAATCCATTAATTAGATCACCAGTAACTTACTTCTACGAAAGTGGTTTTTTATCATTCTTTCGCCGCAACTCATAGAAAAATAAATTTAACGCATCAAAATGAACAGTCATTTACCCTTTAATTAGCTGTCATACATAAAATGTCTTTTAGATGTATGCTCTTCCGTATCTATTTTAGGTATGGAGTTTTTTTAAATGATGTAATTTTTTTTGTTACTTACTTATCTTCTAAACCTTTGAAACGATTTCTTCATGGAGCAATTCTATAGATCAGAAATCGTAAAAAGTACTTTATTGGGCTTACAATTTAAAAATTCAAAAGGCCCTTTCCCCTAGAAACACCCGAAAAATTTACTTATTTTTCAACTTGAAAATTTAAAAAGTGCTCTATACTTTTTTTAAAATAGTCGAATTAGTTTCAAACGTGTATTAAATAGCCTTAAAATTAAGTATTATCAATAAATGTTGGCAAACAAAAAGAAACAATTCTATTAACTCTTCCCCTGGAAGATGTGAAAACTTTTTTTTCTTATTTCGAGCGAAACTTTAAAACGTAAGGTCTGAAAATTAGATTTAAGGTACATCTAGAGTGGAACTATAACATATACGATTTATTTAAGAATCTGTTTTCAAACTTTGTTTTTATAAATGAAAAAGCCTCCAAAAAAATGGGGAAATTGCATTTTGACTGTAGCAGTTATGACCTGTGAACTCTCTCTCTCACCGGATAGCGAATTTGCCAAGAAATCATCTAATGGCGGTAGCGTTATTATATATTTTCACTTCTCTTTTAGAAAAAAACTAATTTAACAATTATTAGTTATTAGTTTAATTCTCACGAAGGCCTCGGTGAGAAGGGAGTGTACGAATTTAGGATAGTTGTATTAACTTAATGAGAATATGATTTATTGACTTGGTGTAAGACATAAATAGCTAATCGAATTAAAACATATTTAATTCAAAGTAAGCGTCGAGGGTTAAATGAAAATGATTCCAAAATATTGAATAACAATAAACAACCGAGTTAAAACCGGCTAGACTTAAAGAAATTATTGAAAATAATAACTTATTGTTATAACCGGGTTTAGGATGCAGGAATTACTATATTTAAATTATTTAATTTAAAACAATCGTTAACAGTGGTAAATGTAAACTGCTTGAGACTTGATTTAATGTGAAGTAGATTAACGACGATACGAATGGCCTATCTATATAATAATGTCATTCACCTATTTTATTATAATCCATATCCGTAATCAGGTTTCGTGGTCGTTTTTTTTACATCTATAAAATTATGTATTCTCGTCGTAAAATAGTTTTTTTTTATTTTATCCATAATCACTGGTTATTATATTTATTTATATATATAATATATGTGTTTTCGACGCTTGGATCGTGTGAACATTTTGCCGAAAAGGAGTGTTTTCGTTATGTATAAAATATAAGTATAAATATATGTTTGCTTAATTTAAATTAACATAATATTTCGTAACACGTCTGTGGCTTCGGTATTACTATGCTCGAATAACATTATAAGATACGATTTACTAGGTTTTTGTAGAGTAATTATAAGATAATAATCCCCCGGATGGACAAGACGAACAAGATGGCGACGGGAATCTATCGCCAAACATACTCTCCAAATTTCAATTCGATTTACACGTGTAAAAAAAAATATATAAAATTATTAATTTATTATTTATTAAATTATTTATTAGTATACGCAATTGCGAAAATCTTAAAAATATTAGATAACGCGTTAATTAAAAAAAAAACAATAGATATTTACAATCGCCACTGTCAAGACGTTTATTTATTTTCATATGATCATATTTTCAACTCTGAACTATACGGATCAGTTGGCTTGACTACATTGGGAATTATTATAGTTTTGTCAAACGTATAAAATGCATTTATATAATAATATATATATAATGTATATATATTATGTATATATATAATAATATATATACATTATAACAGCTAATGACGGCTGCCTGATTTAATACTTAACGTTTATACTACATTTTTCCCGAAACGCTGTGATCGGTTAGTTTTAGTCTTTAACGTGGTCAGCCGAATCGTTGTAATCCTTTAGTGTAATACAAAATGTACGCCAGATAAGTACCCAATTAACCCGCATTGTATAAGCAGGCAGCATAAAATTGATCTCGAAAAAAAAATAAAATAAAAGACTAACATTTCCACTAATGGAATAAAATAAAAATAAAAAAATGTATCTTAAAGATATTATTTCATTTTGGGAAAGGGAAATTGAAAAAGATTATTTTCCCCGCTAAGCCAAATGGAATTTTATTCCACCAATGATTTACAGAAGAAAAAAAAGGTTTTTTGTTTTTTCTTGCCTAAAGTAAAAAAGGTTTTGACTGGACATTTTTGTCTCGGGTTATTCGAGCATAATAAATATTTGTTTTTCGCAAAGATAGATCATTATTATTAATTATTTTTCTCGTAAACATAATTAATTATTATTCGCTAACGATTTTCAGGTCTTACGAGTATCGTGTGCGTGTTAAATTAGTAAAAATGAAAAAACAGTTGCATCACTGTTCCAGTTTATTAGTGTAGAGCTATTAAATCCCGTCTGACCATATAGACTCGCGCCCCTGGCACACACCATCACGCCATCGGTTATACCTAAGTATTGCAATTTAGTTGTTAACCCGATACCTACAACTTAAGCACCGAGACCTTTTTTGGTTCGACCGAGTCCTCTACCTACCGTAACACCGATTGATGTCAGCTCGTTTAATTTTCACCGTCGATTTTGGACTTTTCTGAAACCGAAACCTGTATCGTTAAGGCGTGCGTGCAAAACCAATACAAATAGCCGCGGGATTTCAAAGATAAACAGATACCTCGTCAAAATACAACTTATTTATGTGTACAATATTGACCAGACATTTTTTAATGAACTCATATTATTACGCTATATACTGCTTAATTTATAGCGTTAACATGTGATATTATACGATCAGGCGACAAGATAAATTTGTATAATATTATGACCTACACACATATGGACCGTTAACATGTTTGATTAATAAATAAATTACACTCGCCTTGTATAATAATATAATCGAATTGTATATTATACTTGTTTAGGGATACGTTTAACCATACCGAACCGACAGCGTACGATTAGTTTTGAGTATTTCCTAATCAGTTAATAATGTAATTGCGGTAAATTATGTTTCAGATGCCACGGCGTTCAAGCAACAATCGTTCAGGGTAACCCCCAAAGACGTTAACGCCCGGCAAGGTACGAACGTGACGTTGCGCTGTGAAATCAACGATATCTCTGGTGACGTCCAATGGACCAAGGACGGCCTGGCTTTGGGTGAGTACAGAATATGAATCCATTTATAAAATAACAGCTATAGCCAAACACGTACTTAGATTTTATCCACGGGAGATGGTTAGAAATATTGTTTGTCATTAAAAGCCCATATGTGGTAGGTTAGTCCCGAAACGAGAGACATTTTGGAAAATGATAAAGTAAAGCATTTTATAGTAGATAAAGAAGTGTCTACGACGATTTAGGTTTCAAAAAAATTAGAGACGCTTATATATTGTGTAGCATAAAAAAATATATAATCATAAAACTAAGAACACTGAAATTGTAAAAAACGTTCAAACAAGCACGTTAAAAATATATCAAAGTTCAATCAAGACAGTAATTCGTATGAAAATAATTAAATTGTATAATAGTTAGATGCAATTTCCGGGTAGCGAAAAATCCAAACACACTAAGAAATTAATATTCAAATATTTTCACCAAGCGTTTTCATGAAAGTATAGTTTTATTACTACTGCTAGATATAGAAATACGTTAAGACCAACAGGCAACAAAAATTCAGCATAGTCTAAACTCAAACTATAAAACTACACTTAACCCAGTAATAGGTTAATATTGTCAAAACTTTTGATTTTGTTTCAATCCCTTACCGTCTTGGACCCATTTTGCTAATTTAAACTAGTACAGTAAGTTTATTTTGTGCCAGGGGTTTAAAAAAACTCTAGTAATCATTTGGGACGTAGTTCGTAATATTACTTTTTTACGTATTAAATGTTTTAAATAAAAATTATTTAATTATTCATTATTGAAAATGCTAAAGTATAATAACAGTGAAATGTTAAATAAATTGTAATATTTTGGCATATAAATTTATTTAGATATCTGATATATTACTGGGTATAATTTCTTCATAAAACACTTTATGGGACAAGCAATCTTTTATTAAATAACTCCTATTTTTTACTATAGTGTGTTTATATAATGTGATTGGTAAAGATTATGCATACATTTTACTAACTTTTTAAATTGCGAATAATGTTATACGAATTTTGACTAGTCGATAATCAGTTTTGGATAACTATTCTTGAAGTTATTGAAGCTTCAAGTTTAGGACAGGAGGAAAGGTGGGGTGTAGTATTATTTTTATCTGCGCGCACTTACCCTCCCGTCATAACCTTTAAACTCTTATAACTTTAAAAATAGTTGTTCAAAACTGGTTATCAACCAGTCAACATTTTTAGTAAATTATTCTTAATTTAAAAAGTTAATAAAATATTTACGTTACCGTTTAAGTTTTAAAAGTTGGTAGAAAAAAATTAATTATGAAGAGGGGTAAAAGCAAAACATTTTTTGAAAAATTGAGATCACATTGTATAAAAACACTATGAAAAAAAAATAATTTCTAATCAAATCCTATGAAATATTGAGTAGTTAACGATAAAATAATCATCCAGTATTATATATTAATGATACAAACTATATGACTTAAAAATTAAATGTTTATCTAGTTAGAAAGACATCTCTAAATGATTCAAATGACGGATAAAAAAAAATGTAGTCTATTTAATGTTTGCTATACTGTGTACTATCGTTATTACTTTTAATGTAAGTTTGTCTTTGTAATATGTATCTACGCCCACTACTATGGTCTGTGGGCAAAATAAAAGCTCTTAAGAGGAAGTAAACTATTACCTACGTTGAGATATTGCCCCCATAAATACGCCATTCGCGATAGTAATATATTCGATTTGTCTGCTCCGTTTGCCCCGTGTGAATTCATCGGTTCACCTTCCGGACTATCCATATCGCAAAGCAATAGTATACGCGTTATCATAATACGTTTGCGGTCCATTGGGCATCATCCCCATGACCGGCTCAAGCGGATGAAATTGAGCGAAAAACCGCCGTACAATAATTAATTACTACAACCATCTCGGTTTGCCGTTACAGGTTATGCTGCTGAAATACCGGGACATCCCCGACACTCAATGGTGATCGATGCTGGAAACGGAGTATACAATTTGCTAGTCAGAGAAATCACGGTAAAGGACGACGCCTTGTACCAGTGTCAGGTCAGTCCAGGACCGATACCAGGAAGCAAACCGATCAGATCTTCAGCCAGATTGACCGTCCTCAGTGAGTGTTTTTTTTTTTTTAAACGCCTAATATGAATGTTGTAAAAGAAATACAAAGAGTTTGATTAAATACATTTACCTCTAAAACTTTTTCGACCTTGAACCCTTACAATTAAACTTATTTTTAATGAAAATGTAATAAACGTACACTTGGACGAGTCAAAAAACCTTTAAAAAAAAATTAAAAAATAATCGTTAGTTTCCAAGCATAATACATTTTATAATTTGCATAATAAATATCTTATAGTGACTTTTAAACATTACTCTAAGCTTACAATTTTATTTTTCCGTAATTTAAAAAAAGGTTGGTTCAGTTGGGAGATTATCATTCAGATTTATTTGAATAATTTGTTATTTAGATAAAATTATACTCGAAGAATAACCAACTATGAATAATATATGTATAGTAGTCCGTGACGTCACACTCATAAAAAGTTTGATCAAAGCAAACTAAAAATCATTACCACCGTAGGTCTGTATTTCCATAACCTACGTGCTCTTTTAAAATACATAAGTTGAATTTGAATAACATTTGCATTTAGACATCCATATACCAAGATACCTATTCAATTTCTAGATTTTGGAGCCGTCATCGTTATTAAATTATAATTACAATTAAAATGATTTTATATATATTCCAAGAATCCTAAGATTGTCTATCTATTTTCCATAGACCCGGGTTGGACAACAAAGATCGTACACGGTGTATAACCGTTTTGTACGTGTACTTCACTCTACACGTTTAAGTTAATCCCTTATTCTATACAGTACTCTTTACGTAATATTATTATTTCCAATTTAGTATAGTGTCGTATCTGTCCGAAAAACGAGCGACCGCTCCCTCTACAGAATACACATCGTTTGTGTGCACAGTGCATAAGACAAATGATTATAATAAGTAGACAGTGCAGCAGTAGGCGTACGATTAAAGCACAAGTGCACAAAAACAACTTAAGGCGTAATGACTTTTTTACCGGAAAAAAGTAAATAACCTATACAACGGTGGTAATGATTATCGCCGGTCGGGGCAGCCCATATTATTCAATCTAGTGGGTGGTTAAACAAGGCGATTTGTTTTTGGTTTGTTTTGCTTTTTTCCTTTCTTTTTTTTACATCCTTACTCACTTACCGCGGCGTATAATATTAATGAGAACACATCTATTTTTTTTTTTTTTACACTTCGGTTCAAAAATTAAGCACTAATAGCCCGTTTTGATCCGACCGCAACGGCGTAACGACGTTTTTCCGGATATTTGATTTTCGGGTCTGTGTAGGGCCGTGCTATTACTATATATATAAAAAAACATAACATATTATAAATTATAATGTATAACGTGTACACGTAACATGCGTGCTCGTTCTACAGCAGTAAAAATCATCTGTGTGTGGACACGGCCGACGACACCCACCGTGGCTGGGTAATTATTTACACTAATGGTCAATTGGTTGTTAAAACACAACGTTTACGGTCGTGCTGCCAGACTGCGCTTTAACCTTTAGGGAAAAATTAAGTACGTGGAGATATTCTGTTGGCGCAGTCAATCCAGGTCTGTTGTTGACCGTGGTCGAGTGGTGATGATACAAAGAGTTCATACCGGATGACTTGCAGCCGCCGTTTTCAGGCTGCTTAACACTTGACAAAAAAAAACAGACACACATTTTAATAGTAATATCTAAACGCATAGGTAAAGCGACAGTCCGGTATATGGGATACACCACCAGACAAATCGGCTATAGTGTATGTAAGAATATTTTTTTTTTCTTTTAAAAACCGCACATGGCCTCTCCGGCGTCGACCGTCAACAGTTGCACGGGAAATCTGTTAATTAAAAAAAAATATATATATATCTAACGTTCGCATTTACATAATTTTCTCACGTAATAGAATTAAAACAAAAACTATATATATTACAAAACGAGTTGGATTTTTTTTCTGGTTCAGCACGTTGTTTGCTTACAATATATCGGCCTCGAATGGCGCGTTTGTTGAAAATACAATTATTATTATTATTATTACATAAAGGGACAATGTTGAGCCGTATAATTCCACATCACACACGCGCTATATTATGTACATTAAAGCCGTAAACTTGTAGGTAGTCCTTGTCTCGAATACGCATAATAGCAATATTGTAGTATTAATTTCCCGTTTACATCCGCTCATAACGATATCATAAGACGATTTATGCAAAATATACGTTTTTCGTGTAAATTAATACAATTTCCTTAGCTTCAGTATAGGTAAATAAGGCAGCAAACGCACGTCGTACAAAAAAAAACCCAACATTCATTAATATTGTTAATTGGCTTCTTTGTTTAATTTTCCCAAAATAACAGGGTGTATATCGCAGTATATACCCACGTCAAGTTAGTGAACCGTTCATAGTAGTTATTATAATATTAATTTGCGGTAATACTTATAGTTATAATCTAATCATCAATTTATACATTATCCTCTATGCAACAATGTAAAAAATATACATATAATACAATAATGTCTAATAATATGGCGCTAATTGCATTGGAAATTCAATTACTAGTTTTGTTTTTCACTTATTCGATACACAAACAATGAACCACGACGAAGATGGAAATAAAAATAATACCATCATAACACTTTAGAACTCTCCCCAAGTCTGTCTCGTCTTTATACGAATAATACAGCAACAAACGTTGCTGAAACTCGATATGACGTAAAAAACAAATTTTTCAGGCTAATCAAATATTTATTATTCGAAATATCTGAGGAAATTGAATTTCAAAACTCTTGTAAAAATGTGTAACGTTGACTATAATAATATGAGTTAAATAAACAAATAGTTCTATACCAATTTTCGGTAAAAAAACAAAATAATTATGTATATACCAAATTGTAACAATGAATTACATACTGACTACTGTTTAATTATCCAAACTATATATATATAAGTGGACTGTCATTTTACCCTGACAGATAAAACGTAGATGTATTTTTTCCCCAAAACACTTTGTAACCAACCTACCTATGACACCATCTGAGATATTATTATTACTTATATTATTGTTGCCGCCGGTGATATTCGACCCGGTTCCACTAACGAAATGTCACACACTCGCGACGATGCCGTCACCCCTTCGGCGCCGTATCGCACTCTGTGGGAACGATAATTATTATATTAATTTTAAATGCCGACATTTGTTATTAATTTTGAAACACTATTTTCCGTTGCCGAGTGGAAGGGTTGGGCGGAGGAGTTCTGTTTGTATCGCTGAGTTTAAAACAACGCATGATTTTTATGTTCAAAACGGTCCCAGAGGATTCCAATCCAGATGTCACGCCACCGCTACACGAATATAAAGAGTCCATAATATAATGTCCCCTACACGGACATGTGTATATAAATCAAACGCAGTTTATCGCTGTCGCCTGTATGATTTCGGCAATGTTATGGGTTTTTTTTTAACCAGAGCTACAGTTTGCAGGCCTTGAAAACGCACATGTAACACAAAGGTGGACACGACAAGTCACATGGCTCCCCGACCGACTCCCCACCCCCTTCCCCCAAAGTGTAGCGTTATAATATAGGTTATTTAGCAGTGTTATCAGTGCCGCGCCAACGGTTATAATACTACCCTGTGGCAATTGATTTTTGCCATAGCTTCGCAGCTACATTTTCCCACCCCCATTTTCCATCATTATTATAAAATGGGCGTCCCCTTAATTTATACCGTTCTTGCTCGTTTAAATAAGCGTTAATAATTATAGTGGTTTGTTTTGATTACAGCGCCTCCCTCGTCTGTGAAAATTACGGATCTGAATTTGGATACCATCTTGGAAGTACAAGAAAATCAAGAAGCCGTCATCGACTGCACGGCAAGAAACTCTAAACCGCCGTCGACAATAGTTTGGTCTCGCGGCCACGTCGAAATCAATCCGGGTTAGTTTTGTATCAAATTCAATGCACTTATTGTTATGTAATGTATAAGAAATCAGAAAAAGTCCATCGTCTTTTTCGCGTGCTGCCCGTCACCGGAATGGCATGTACGACATTAATATCCCATAATATTATAGTCTCCAGGTCTCATCCTGTACCCCGTTATAAGAGTAACCCGGTTAATCTCCTTCGAATACGCTCTTCTATATTTAAACGCCACCGGGACTTACCCACTGGCTCGTCTTAAACGCCCTAAAACGACGTCTCATCTCATTTTACCTTTGCCATACGGTTCCTTCCGTCGTCAGACATACTCGTTAAGTATCTTAACGAGTCATACTCAACAGATTTTTTTTTGTTCTTTTCTCCTGTATAGAGAATCGAGAGGAAAACATAACCGAAGAGATTTCCGAAATAAGCAATACGAAATTATACACGGTCCACAGCCGAATAAAGGTGAGGACTACTTCACAAGACGACCGTGTGAAATACACGTGCGAAGCCCGACACGAGGCCCTGGCAACGCCGCTGAAGTCCTCCATTCAAATCAGAGTCCTATGTGAGTATATATATTTGAATATAATATACCGTCTGTGTGTCATTCGATTTGGTAGTCTCATCTGAAACGACAACAATATATGTCCCGCGTAGTTGACATGATGATTCTATTGGAAATTAAATAATTTTACCACAACAATGGTATTACAATAATAATAATAATATGTAAATTTACCGTGGATTACTCAGCTGGAGTTACATAGGTATGTTACCACCGGCGTAGCTACAATAATGGTCCAAAGAAGAAAAGTGTGGAATTTATTTCTTATTATTCAAATGTTTGCATCGCCGTTTGGCCAAGACGTTTCAACGAAACGTTTATACTCAAGCCGAAACGTTTATTGTCATTTACCATGGTTCGATGATTGTGTAATAGAATTTATTTACACCCTACCGGCATGCAGATCTACACATTGTTATGAACGTTTAAATAAGTTATTGTTTGATTCCATATTGCCGACGCTTTGGCCTTTTAGCCATGAGCTGTATTATGTGCATCTACGCGTGTTTTACTCATTCCATAAATAGCCAAATTCTGACAAACAGAATCAAACGATTAAAAGTTTGAAACATTCAAGTATGAAATTCTATAGCGATTACTGCGGTCAAATATTGAGGACTAATATATAGGTATTAGGTGTTTAGATCTTGTCGCTGGCTCATTGTACAATGGACATTTCAAATTTAACTTTATTACCCTGTTCTACTCTTTTTTTTTATACTCATAAATCTTTCTAATGTCATTTGTACACGTCCTAACGATTTGTTTTGTCTTGTTTGAAGACCCGCCGGGAATACCGCACATCGAAGGATACACCGAGGGAGATATTGTGGACAAAGGGCAGCACGTAAACCTACGGTGCGTATCGAAAGTGGGCAATCCGCCGGCACAGCTCACTTGGTTCAAAAACGGTCACCTCATACACAGCGAATACAGGTGAATAAATCAAAATAAATAATAATCAATCGGTTTCCACCGAGAGACCAATATAACTGCTTTTCTTTTGGGAGATGCAGGGAAAAATTAGGATTATAACAGATTTTGAGTTCAAGTGCGTTTGGTAAATGTTTAAAAAAATTAATTTCACTCGATGTGATTATATATTATTATCTATTTGTTACGATTAATTATGTTGAACCAGACGTTAAAAATGCTAAACGTGTTTTAGAAGTTTTATCGTTTGATAAACGAATAGTGTGAATTTTCATCTCAAGTATCGCGTTTTGTCGAAGAGCTAATTCGATTCTAAAATGAATTGATGTAAAAAAAAAACACCATACTTTTGAGCTTTGCAAAACAATTTTAATTTTGTAATAAAAAAAATGTTTGTGTTTCACTAAATTCGTTCGCGTTAGATTTGAGCGAGAAACTTTTTTTTTTAGCTGTAATTAAACGAGTTAACGTACCAAACATAATCGATGGCTGTACTCTCGAGATCCACATAACGATAATGCCGGGCATAATACGATTGCTGGTTTTCCCACGCAGTATGTATATATATGGCGTGGACTTATGTGCATTTCGTATTAATTGTGTATTCGATAATTATGTCGAGAGGCCAATTAACGTATTCCGTAAGCGGAATACTAAGAGTACGCTTTGAACGCTAATACTGCGACAGCGCTACTCTGTCGAGTAACCCAAAGAGGGTTTACCCGATATGTTGCATATTTTTATGGATGCTCTTGCCATTCTATACTCGGTCAAAAGGTTTCAATCTTGAAAATAGTGTATAACTTTAACCGAAAACCACTCGAGTCCGACGAGGGCTTTTATTTTTCAATAATCATTAAAATACACAATACTATACCTAAGTGTATGCTATGCGTCGGTTATTGATAATGTTTGAATAAAAAAAAAATGTGTTCGTTTTCGGAGAGAACACATTTTATTGGATTTCCAGTACAGGCAGACGATCTTAAATTCGGTAACTCTGTATAATATTATATATTTCCGTAGCTGTATTATATAATAATATTGTAGAGCGCGGATTTTTTGGAATAAATTATTATTTTGAAGCGTTTCTAAACGAGTACACCGTCGTCGCCGTTCGGAATTCGGATGATGCGACATGTGAAATTTGGGTTTACTTAAAACCTCGCAATCGTCTTTAAAACAAGTGTAGATGAAATATTTAGATTTTCAGACCGAACGTAAGACAAAATATACATTTTGTTCATTGTGTTTTTTTTTTCAGGACAACGGAAAAAGTGTCGGAAAGCACGTACTCGTTCATAGCCGACGTCTCGGACAACAACGCGAAGTACCGATGCGAAGCAAAAAACTCAATTAGCCCAGATCCTCTGTACGCCGACGTCATGTTTTCGGTGTCGTGTAAGTCGCATTTATAATTTTTTTTTTTTTTTTTAATTTTATTTAATTTTCTACGGTGACGTTTTTCTACTTGTGTAATTAAAATTCGTTTGCTCCGAATCGAATGCGAGCGGTCTGTAGGTACACAACAAAAACCCTAATTTGTACAGCTATTTTACACACAGTAATATCGTATAATATGTCTGTATACCTACTGTAATCGTCTTTATTTTATATTAATTATTATTTAAATGTTCCAAACGAAAATTAAATATAATATTAAATAAAAATATAATGTTAAAACGTCAATGAAATCGCAACAAACGATCATATTATCATAATAATATACCGACGTCGTGCCGTGGGAAGTGTACGCTTGCATGTACTATATACGTACAAAATATAATATTATTATTATATTATACATTATACATATTGTATAGTTGTATTTCAACGATCCGTCGCCAACACGGTATTATGATAACAACATTATTGTTGAAACCTAAAGAAAAAAAGAACATTACACTTAGATATTAAAGGTACTCGAATATCACATCGTCCGCGGCTGTACCTGTACTCTATATTATAACCGTGTTCTCGTTTACCATTAAAAGCATCTGCGTAGCCCCGGGCCTATGATTTCACGGAGTTGACTTTTCATTTTTTTTTTTAGTATAAATTATAATTTTGTGTAGGAAACAATACAAATGCACCCCGTACTATTTTTTGGCATCCGACGATTGCTATCGTCGTCGGCGGCGACGTGCACTGCTCCCCAACGTCCTACAGATATATGATCTAACGTCTTATTTTGTGTATATATAATAATATCGAATTCCCACCACCTTCATTAATTCAAAAACTCTTTGTTTTTCACACACCAGCCATTTACCTTTTACGCACAGCACTAATAAATATCGGCATTCTTGCACACTTGGACTTAACTTTCTCCCTTAAAAACGCAACAACGGGCTTAGCTGTTTGTAAATATTTCTTACTATAAACGTCTAAGAAATATGAAAACTACCCAGTCCCAGTTGTTTAAATCCAATTGTTTTGTTTTTATATAATTTCTTAACAGACTTCAGTCCACCTTAAGTATGTTTTTATAACGTTTTTATGAACTCACAATCTTGTTTGTCGTTCCGGGTGGAATCTTGGAACTCAAATTTCGAGCACTTCCCGATTAGCTATCCGGCTGAAACTTTCAGGGTAGCTCACAATTCGATAACAATGCATTATTAATCCACAAGAGGTTGAAAATTCCACCTCTAAGGGGGATAAAATGGGGTCGATTTCTTGTCCGTCGTTCCGGGTGGAATCTTGCAATTTAAAGAGACTTATTTCTTACGCGCCAGCAAAAATTATGCGTGGTGCGTTTGGGCGTGAACTGTGCTCAGATATGAGCGGTACCAGGTTCAAACCCGTTCCCATCATTACACTTTTTTGCATTTTCTTCCTGTTAGTCATTAACACAACACAATGTTGATGGGTGTATTAATTTGTTTAATTTATCTTCGCAGTTGCCCCCAGTCAAGTTAAGATCAAAGGACCGGTCGAAGCGAAACAAGGAGACGCAGTGAGTTTGAGCTGTGAGACTGGTCGTAGCAACCCGCCTTCGGTGATCAAATGGCTGGTGGCCGGGGAACCTGAAAAGAACAGTACATCTACTGTGGTAGCTGGGTCGCAGTCAAGTTGGATAACTAAGTCTAATGTGACTTTTGTCATGCCGCTTGGACAACGGTCGGTGGTGGCCATTTGTCAGGCCGTCAACAACCACCCGTCGGATAAAGTAACAGCCAGTCACAAGGTCAACGTTTTGTGTAAGTGTAAAAAAATAATCATTAAAAAAAACAATTTTATTTCTGTGGGGTTTTGGCAAAAAGTAATATGTCCGTCTTTGATATTATTGTGTTAAAAGTCGGTATGTCATATTTTTAGTGTGGTGGTGAATTATTTTTAAGTTTTTTAAAAAAATGTCATATTATCATAGGTCTAACAAAAATAAAAGGTATTATATTGAATAATTTTTTGGGTACTTACGTGGTTATAAGTATCAAATATCATTTATGTGGTTTACCGGGTTATACAAAGTGTGGGAAACAATAAAGTTGACAGGTTTCATTTAGATCAAAAATCATAATCTGAACACTGTCAAAATAAATAAGGTGTATTATAGTGTTAACACTAATTTCATTAAGTATTAGGTAAATTTAAGTATAAAAATATTCTCAAAGTAAAATACACCAATCACCCTTAAACAAATGTTAGGAACTAAAAATACCTACACATTTTATGAGTTGCTCAAACTTTGCCATTTGGCTTGGTTAAAATAATAATGTATTAAAATCCATAGAATAGTAAATTGAATTTCAATTCAAACCGAGCATTTATCGTAATTGAACATTCTGTGTTTTGCTTGGGCTTTAATAGTATATTTCAATAATCTGTTGAAATAATTATGAATTTTTAACATATTATCGGAGAGATAACACTATTTTAGAGTTTATTTAATTAGTCGGAGTTCACACATATGACATACCTATACTCACATGAACGTTAGTATAATATAGCTTATATATATATATATCACAGTCAAATCATATACGGAATACAGTGTGTATAATTATACCTACACACACAAGAAGATAACAGATACGGCGTAGCTGGTTCCGGTGTTAATGAAGTCACACGTATATTGAATATCGAAACCTGAATGAATAAATACGAGCGAGATCGAGTGTATTGAATGTCGGTCAAAGTCCGGTCAAAAAACTAGTCAGACATCATTATTGTTTTACTAATATTGTCATCATAAAAACATTGTGACGTTGAAAAAATGGCAATTTTTTTTTAAGTAATATTATACACTTTACATAATGGTAATCAATAGTGGGTGGTAACAATTAATTAATTTTAAATGAAATCGGTTGTTTAACGCTTCTATAATGGTTTAAAAATAAACGAATTTTGATAAATTGGTTCTAAGAGAGCCAACGCTAGATTTTTCTGAGGCCGGCTTAATTTAATTTGAATATTACACACGAGTGCCGACTGTATCAAAATTATCAAAAAGAATTTTGTGAACCAAAAATTGGTTAAAGTCTGTATTGGGTACATTATTTAAAATATATTTTATAACATTTCTGGGTGTAACCGAAAACGTTGTAAAAAATTAAAATTCTCTGATGTGTAACATAATATTATGAGGTTTTCAATATTTAGCACAAACGGTTAACCTTGTCTAATCAAAAACCGTTTAAACGACGAAAATAGTATTGTTCTCGGAACGTTTAAAAATTAATTCACTCGAGCTATTTTTGGTTTTGATGAAAATTAATCATAACATTTTGTTGTCCGGATCAATTTAATACAATGGCGTTATACACATACAAGGGGTTCGACGGATGTTGTTGGAGTTATTAAAAATTATGCACAGACCGTCGAACCGCAGCTTAATACATAATACTAATAATAATATAATGATCGTGTGTATGTGTAGCGTTTTTTTCTTACTGTTTTTTTTATGTGTATACAGATCCGCCCGGAGCGCCGATCATAATCGACTACTTGTCCGGCGAACGAATTCCGACCGGAGAGGTGCTCAAGCTTTCTTGCCTGTCGACCGGCGGCAACCCGCTAGCGTCGCTCGCATGGTACAAAAACGATAAAAAGGTATTAAATTAATTTAATCCGTTTCGAAAAACACCGCCTTGGCACGTTGGTACAATAGACGCTTTGTAGAATCATATAAGACGTTTGTCATGTGTGTGCAGCGCATAAGAAAAACAAAATATGTTTGTGTACATAAATAAATAAATATATATATATATGTGTGTGTGTGTATAAAGAACCCATTTGGATCCACCCTAGCAGCGAAACTTTTTTTAGAGACCCCAAAGGTAGTTAAAAGCCCGCGCCCATTCAGAAAAGGTCTGCACCACTCGATAGCCGCAAATCGTTTTGGGGTTATCTAGTTATTTTATTATGTGTTAGGCCTTTTTTTTCAGCAACGATAAAGTATTGCCTATTCAAATCTAATTCACCGGACCGTCACGCGTTTAGGACCTCTTGATCAAATAGCCGTATATATAAATATATATATATATATATATATGTCACACTTCTCGTTCGACCTAAAGTTTGGCCAAAACGCTACTTAAAAACCAATAAAAACCCACTGCTGCAGATACACTTACCCATGCATGCGATGGGATACTTTATTTATCTACTTCTGCCCTTGTTAAAAAAAAATCGAAGTTTATCATTTTATACGCATGTGATATTATTTAATAATATTGTGGCGAGGAAGAAACCGCGACAGGTGTTGGACGAATGTCAAAAAACTAACCGTTTTGTGTTTTTGACTACAAACTCGCCAGAGACCCGGTCGATCAGGGATTGGCACCTGCTTCCATGTACTTAATATATAATATAATACTATTACTAGTACATTTGTGAATAGGCTACACGTTTGGGTCTCGGTCGTCGGACCGATTAACGTTAATATAACAACCCCAACACGATACCATGTTTATCTGTACTCAATCGTACGTTTATATATTTTGTAGCAATAAATATTATCCTGCGCGTAATTGATTATATACTGTCAATATAATTAATAATAATGTTATCTAATCGAAAACAATGATCGTCAACTTTATATATTAATTACTTTTGTAAAAATATGTTATATTATTTAGCGTTGCTTACTATCGTGAATCACGAACCGTACTGTGTACATAACCGCATTTCGGTGAAACTTTGAAAGCTAATCCAGAACATATTTGTTTACACGTTTAAGGTGCATTCGACCATAACGACCAATGAAAATTCCGTTTCGGCAGATCTGAGTTTTATGGTCAACTACACGGACAACGGCGCTATATTGAAATGCGAAGCTACCCATCCCGCACTGCAAGTCCCGATGATCAAAACGATGAAAATGGATGTAGAATGTGAGTATGAAAAAAAAAAGCTTTACATAATTTGATATCATGCAGAAAACGAAGGAAAACTTCGGCGATAACAGTGTAATAATTATTACTGTTTATGCGCTTTACAATCAATCGTACCTTTTTGCAATAAAATACACAAATTGTGTAAATAAAGAACTTGTGTGTGTAGATATGTGTTGTTTGACCCAATGAATCGGTGCCTACGTCGCTTATATGCGGCGACTAGCCCCCGCAAGTACTCGAAACTCGAAAAACTAGTGTTCAAATATTAAGGATTTGATAAATCTGTCAACGGGCTATGGAATTTTAATGTAATTATACCTAATTGGAAGCGGTATAAAATGGAAATTCGGCTTTAGATACCTAGGTATTATTCTACACGTATGGCGGGCACCCACCGAAATGCGAACAGGTGCGCCTGTGTCCACGTGGGTCTCGACTCTTGTGTGTGATATAATAACTCAACCGCTTTTGGGAGGAGGCAAATTATACACCGCGTAACATCTGTCTTCTTAAGCGATCGGAATGACTCGGGTCGACTACGTCCGGCTTCCGATATTGGCCATTATATCATTTATATAGAAAGTGACTATAAAATATACTATTATAGGCGGCCGTCGATTTATTATTGATTCCACAGTAGCATATATTTTACTAGCCCACATTGGCTAATTATTAACGCCGACTTTTTTTTTTTAGTCTAGTCTAAATAAATTTGGTCCCTCGAATCTGGGCCATTGCCTTTCGATTTCAGTTTATAGTTATCGTTATCATTAACAAACACGCTGTGCGCTTTTTTTTAATTACAGTCATGATACAGCACCTGGAAATCAAACAGGATCCGGTGCACCTGAGACCGGGCACGCTGGCCACATTCACCTGCGAGGGTGGGTCTAGCAACCCGTTGGTGAAGTTGAATTGGTGTAAAAATAACACACCCGTGCCCAATGGTATTAACAGCTTCTCTAAGCCCGGATTGTACGGCGGAAGGATTAGCATCGTTCAATTGACATTAAATATCACGTCCGCGATGGACGGCGTGAATTACACGTGCCAGGGATCGCATCCGGTACTGAACAAGAACATTTACAGAGAACACACCGTAAACGTTTTACGTGAGTCTACTATAACTTATTGCCCATTTCATTGAATATTTCTATGCATAGTAAATAATAAAGCCAACACAGTGGGGTCAGGGCATAGTATTTCTACGGCTATTGTCTTACAGTCAAATAACTTCTAATAAAAATAGAAAATGTGGCTAACGTTTTACATGCAACCACGCCATTAATTAATACATAAAAAAATTAACTTTGGAAAAAACTGTTAGTTGAGATTTCATTATCACATTTCCAAGCACTTAATCAGTGTGATAACTTCGCTCCAAATTCTAAAAAAGCCTAATAGGTCACGAGCTTGGTGAACAGTGTGACTATGGGTATACAAGCAACCGGGTATTTGGCATTCGATCACCCTACAATTATCTAAAAAGGTTTAAGGTGAAAGCATAGAAAGAAGTATCGTGTTTAAAAAAACAGCTGGTTATAATATCATGTACGACCGCCATGCTGGGTTCTGAACTTTTAATTTATAGCCTTTGTATAATAATGTTTTGCGGTTTTTACCTCTGTCCCAACAGACTTCGGTCATACACATGATATTATAGTATTATACACTATAAAAAATTTTAATTATTTGCCGTTTCACATATTATTATTATTATCTTTGCTAACCGCTGTACCCGTTTCTGTGCATCCGTTCGACCACCAGCGCGGCAGCTGTTGTTTTTTACACCCTCGATTTTCATCCAGTCTGAATTTGCCGCATCCCATCGTTTTTACCTTTTACCTAAACGACACCAGCGTTAAGGTCAATTTGTCCTCTTAACGTATTCCCGTATTTTGTTTTACAATCAAAAACTAGTAGCAAGCCTATCGTATCAGAGCCCTCATGTTAACATTGAATTTCCAAGATGCAGTGCATAATTATTTTGATTTTTCTGTACCAACGTCCGGCATGATAATCGGTATCGCGTATGGTCCTAAGTCCGATTTATTGTTTTCCGAGTATCTAATATGGGGCGCACACATACGTGCAAAATGAATTAGTTCCGACATGTCGACGTGGAACATTTCAACACAACGCAACGGTCCATTAAACATCATGACATTATCATATTTCGATGATGCATGTTATTACTTTGTCCTGTCCGGGTGTCGCGCAATGCCCAGCCTCCAACTGGAGACCGAAGCGATTAAAAAACAACCATCTGTACGGAACGACCTTTTTTTAAAATTCAATTTTCCACAGGTAAACCTATATTCGATCCGTACCCAGAGCAGATCACGTTGACGGAAGGAGACGATCTATCCGTCACGCTGTTGGTGAAAGGTCGGCCAGAATACTTGACTTACAAGTGGTCGAAAAACGATGAACCGTTGCGCGTTTTGCCCGGGGTCATACGACAGTCCATTCATAATTGCAGCATGAACATCACGGATTTGGTTCGAGGCGATGCTGGGAAATACACATGCGAAGCGATCAACACCGAAGGGTCTTCTTCCGTGTCGTTCGTGGTATCGGTTAAATGTAAGTTAACCGGTCGTTTGTCCCCCATTTGTCGATATATTATTGTATAAAAATGTTTGGCTCTCAACAGACAAAGCCATCGTAACCGACACTTCGGCCGCGGTGGTCGTAAAGGGAGGAGAAGAAGCAGTGCTCTGGTGTAAGATCGACGGCTATCCTTTAAGTCCCGTTCATATTTCCTGGACTCGGCCGAACTTCACTTTCGACAAGAGGACGTTTGTAGAGCTCAAGGACGGCACGTCCTACCTGACCATACATAACGTCACCAAAGAGGATGCCGGGTCGTTCGAATGCGCTGTCAACAACGGGGTGGGCAACATATCATCGTTATCAGCTGTACTGATCGTTGAACGTGAGTATACGGGTTTTGGCGTTGGAAGTTAACTCTTGTTGTCTTTAACTCGTCGTGTATTTATCTTGGTTACAGATAAACCGGAAATTGTGCTCAAGGAAAACGAATTGAAAACGGCCAGCAACGCGGGAGTCGCGGCCAAACTGCACTGCCGGGCTGCCGGTGCACCGTTCGTTCACTTTACATGGGAACACGACGGATCTAACATAAATAGCATGAACGACAAGTATGCCGTGGAAGAAAAACAGGTAAATTTTCCACTAAGATATCTAGACAATATTTGACAAGCTAGATCAAAACGAATGTACGAAGACAGGCCTAGAATTTCAAACTAAATTTGACACTAGAATTTGAAAAATACAGTTTATTCGTATTGACTCCGTATTGACACTGTTTCATAATACCACAAACGTCATCCCACATACTCGCTTCGCTTTATCTGACCGGTGGTCGCATCTTTTTTTCGAATTTCCCGTCGATCGCGTAACGAGCAATCAAACAAAAATACCTATTTTCTCGGTGTTGTATTATAGAAATCGTTTTACGTTGATTTTAAGAAGCCTATTCGGAGATGCGAGAATTCGTCTAGACCCAAACGGAAAGGCACGTACTCGTATAATGTATACCGTGGATTCGAATAAACGGAGGCGCCTCCGGTCGCGGGATAAGTAGGTATTCGATAATAATTATTAGCCGCTTTACATAGGCCCGGGTATTATTATATTATAACACTGCATAAGGGGTGTGTACCGATCCGAGCGTCATGTCTAGGTACCTACTACTTTGTGTACGGCGTATCCAATATAAATAATAATAGTAATAATCGAAATGTTGTGTGTTATTTTTGTGTAATACAGTTGGACTCGACGCGTTACGAATCAACGCTAACAATACTTCAAGTGGAGCAGTTCGATTACGGCGATTACTCTTGCACTGCCACCAATCATATGGGCAGGGCTACTGCGGTAAACCGGTTGACCGTGTTCTCGCACCCCGATCCTCCGACCAACCTGCGATCCGTCAACCTCACACACAACGCAATGCTCATGGCTTGGTCTCCCGGCTTCGACGGCGGTAATTACCATATACCGACTACTTAACAACAAAACACAGTCTTAAAGGCCGCCGCAATTGGTTACATAATACCTAAATTGCTAAAAATCCGTTGCCAATAATCTCGGTTTTATTATCACAATATCGCATACCCATAGGTTGAATTACAATCAATTACAGAAATACAATCAAGAGCTTTTATTTTTCAAAATGTTAACATAATTCTATTATAGACGTACAATCGTCGGATTTATACAATTGTATAAAACAGACAGAATTCTGTCGTGTTTGTCTCGTCTTATGTTTATTTTAATTTTCTCACCCGTTTCGCTTTGAACACCGTGAACCCCAGTCTGAACTATATATCATGCTACATGCTAATAGTGACTGGTTTTGATTTGTTACAGGCGAACCGGCCACCTACCGCATCCGGTACAGGGCGTTCAACAAGCAGACATACCATTACGAGGACTTGGGCAGCGAGAGCAGACACTTAATCACCGGACTAGAACCGGCCACGACCTACCTGTTTGGTGTAATGGCGCACAACATATACGGAGACAGTTCATACGCATTGGAAAGCCTAAAAGTCACCACATTGAGCTTAACACCCAAGCAAGACATAAGTCTGAGCATCACGTCAGAACCTTTAAGCTCACTGCTGATCTTGTTGTCCATAATATGCGTTGGTCTTGTGATAGTCGTGAACATCTTCTGCTCCGCACTTTGTCTATACAATCGCGAGAAGACCGGCAAAGACGACAAGAGTAAGCGCCAATTGTAAAAATCAATAATAGATCGTACCTAGATAATAGATCTGTACCTAAGAACTATGCCTTATATTACCAATGTAGACTCAAACTGGGCTCTGTATTCTCCATCTAATAGGGGATTGGAGTTATATGTTTCTTTAAAATTTTAGCTTAATTGTTAATTAGGCGTTATTTTGTTAATACAATGAAAGGCTTTGGTCACATGTTGTTTGTGTTTATGCTTTAGGGACTAGGGTCAAACTCAAAGTGAGTAAAACAATGGAACTAAATCTATAACAGAGTATTAACACTTCAAATAATCTTCTAAACGCTAAAGTACAAACCAATAACTAATTAATTAATATTCGAAATGGTTCATTTTCGGATGTGAGCCTCTGAGCTCTGACAAAAGTTTATTTGTGTATGAGATTATTTTTAGAATAAAAATCTGCAAACGTACTCTACATTAATGTTTTTTTTCCACTTAATACTAAACAAAAAGTTTGAAACACTTGTGAATGTTTGTTGACATAAATCGCACTTTTCTCTCAATATGCAATACCGTGCTATTCGATAAAATTCCCAATACTCTTTTAGGCGACCCTCTACCAGTGTGTTTTCTCCGTATATACCAGTCTATTGAAAATACTTTTTGATAACATTCTCAGTCCGGACTTAGTCGTTAATCTCGTCAGTTAATTATTCCTCTGCGATAACGTTAACGTCCCATGTACAGACGGGGAGAACAATGCACAGTGCAGCGCTCGGGTTGTTTTATCATTTTTTATTTATTTATTAGAATTCTAATTGTTTCAATTTATAAATGTTTTTACAAGTATAATAAGTACATTATGATGTATACAAGATGAAGAAAAACTAAGAAAAAAAAACAATGATTAATTTAGTGAAATATGAGAATTGAGTTGATGGATGTAGACTGTAATGACATAAGAAAGAAGTTATAATGTATTATAGTTTGTAAGTGTTTGGTTCATTCTTCGCTGTTGACGGTTTTTTCGCCAAGTCGGAAATGTTTTGCTCCTTCTAAATTTTGGATATTAATGTGGAAATTTATGTTTTGACGGTATTACATGGAATTTTTTTTATTGTACAGAAGGGATCGACAAGTCGCAGACCGGCGTCGAAATGAATGTCAACAACACGAGCTACGAGGAACACACGAGTTCTTCTACATCGGACAAGACTGAGACCTACTCCAACGTGTCACCAGAATATAACGTGAGTGGTTAACGAGACGTAACGCGACTAGCATGAATGACTTAGAAAAATATTCTAAAATATTGGACTTGTGTGATTTCAGGACGATCAGCGGCAAAAGGCGGCCGTCGAACAGTCCTACATGATTGAACAAATCGACTATCCTTTCATCACCGAATCCAGCCATTCCGCTTCCGATCAAATTCAGCCATATAATCAGTACTACAACACAACGGACGACAACGTCTACGACCCAAACATCATGGCCGAGTACAACGTTCACGACAACATAAACCTGGGTAAATAATTGTCTTTGATACGATAAAGTAGTCCTAAGTGTGCTTTTTTTCTTGACCAAACAAACCACAACATCCGCATGCTTACCTCGTCACCTCGTTCACTCGCATGATCCCACTAATATAATAATAATTGCATACGGGAGGGACGGAATCTCCATTCGAGGCCCTCGGACTATTATCGCAACTTAGACGGACACGCTCACTATTTTGGCTCTCACGGGGTAATTTGGTGATGGACAACAATTATTTTTAGTCGATTAACTAACACGAACGCCGACCTCGGCGATAACCTTGCTCTCGTATCGCTGCATAACATATTATTTCAATTAACTAATAATTAGGTGCCGATATTTATTATTATTATTATTTATTTATTTTGTAAAAAGCGGTTCAGGTGCTTTAAAGGATTTTTTTTTTTACGCGTTTTCATTTTGATTATTATTTGTTTTCCATGCAGAAAGCCGTGTTTACCGTCACCACCAGCAAATGCCGCCGCCGCCTCCTATGCCCATAATGCCGGAAACGTCCCGGATCGTGCCGCCGCTACCGATCCTGATCAACAGACCACCGCCGGCCATACCCATACCCCTGACCGCCGCCAATAAATACTACAACCAGCAAGATCCTCCGCCCGACGTCACGGTGTTTTCGGCGCAAAACTATTTCACCACTTTCGGGCACAAGCCCAGCGAGACCGAAGGACATCTAGTCTGAGAACCGATACATACCGCACGAATATGAATTTCCCTATTCACCTACCTACCTACCTACCTACTTAACTATACTGTTTTACCCATTCGCTAAACCATACGGCCGCCCCGGGTGCTGCACTCCAATGACGATGATATTTTGCTCACGAGTCACAAAACGCAACGGGTTTAACGCTTCGACGAGTCGATTGTTGTCACATCCCACATCGACTGCGCCGCCGTTCTAGTCCTCTGCCCGTTTGCCGAAGGCGCCTGTTTAAAGGCAACAAGAACCATCCTGTAACTTCCTACTTACTTACCTACCCTTTTTCTGCCTGCCCGCCCGCCTGCCCGCCCGCCTGCCCGCCCGCCTGCCTGCCTGCCCGCCTACCTACCTACCTACCTACCAACCTACTTGCCTGCCACACATCCGTGTAAAATATTGTTTTACAGATAATTAATAACGATATTAATTATATAATATTATACCAAACGTGTGCATAGGTTGTGTCGTATCATGATCGTGCGGTCGACAGCACATCCTCAACGCAGTCCACGGCCGATCTACACCATAAAAGTTATACAAAAACTATAATATTATGTTATTTAAAATAAGTTGATCTCGAAATGGTTTTTTGTTTTACTATTAAAACTATTCCGTTTAGTCATGTAATTATATTATTTATTTAGAGTGTTATTATACGTAGGTAGAATAATATAGTATAGTATAATTTGATGTTGTTTGCACAAAAGCGCACTAATAAATTAGCTGGGATTACTGTTTATCCGTGATTTATTATTTATTAGGTATTAGTGTTTTCTTGTGAAATCGCGTTTTCATAGCAAGCGTTACTAAACGGTTTTTGCCATCGCGTACCGAGCCTACTCTTACTATTGGGTTCAGTTAAGTTTTGTTTTTTTTTTGTTTTTTGTATAGTTAAATCACTAATTTAGTAGTTTTTCTAAGTAAAAGTTATTTATTTTTTAAGCTTTTTGCGTGTGTCTACACTGAGAAAATACCTATATTATAATCGCAAATACCTAGCATTTAAATTCACGTGTTGTGTACACTTTCTTGTATTCATAATGACATATAATATACTACACTATTGTAAAATGTATCTATTTGAAAACTCTTAATTATTCTTGTGTAACATATACCTATAGTATTATTGTAAGCATTTTAAAATAATAATAATACTTGAGTTTACTTTATTCATTTGCGTTATTTATTTACTTGCCGGATAAGGTTAATTACAAGTATCTAAATACTTCGCTGGCCTTAAAAAATATTTAAATTATTTTTTTATTGGTAACCTCTTGAACACAAAACACATTATTAATTTAGAAAAAAATAGCTAAAAACTATTTAAAGGAAACAATAATAAAACTTTAAATTTATTTTTGATAGAATGTGATCATCCTATTGGTTAATTATTAATATTAACAAATAAGGTTTGCAATTAGAGTTAAATGCAGTTGAGTGCTCGGAGGGGGAGATATTTGGTGATATACATAATATGGCCCCTTTCAGCATTATTTTTTGACAATAATTTCTTGTCAACAAATTAACTGAATCATCTGTTATTATTATTTATAACCGTAGGACTAATTATGGTTCACAATATATGGTTAGGTCAGATGGAAATTGGGATTTGAGAAGTTTTTAAAATAATAATTACAAACGATGGAAAACTAATTGTATTTTACCATACGCTCTGCAAGAGCTACAGCAATGCAAACAACCATAATTTATGAGCAACGATGAAACCAATATAACATTGTCATCATGGAAATAAGTATTTTCGTTTTTGATTTTGTATACAGAACCAAAATGAGGGGAAACTGTTGGTCACGTGACTTCCCCTCATTAGCTTACTACAGCAATATGGTAAATATGATCTACTATTGGGTAAACCACTCCCTCTCCTCCTCGAATTGTCCTGGAAAAACCAGGCTCGTTTAGAAACCGGGACGTACATTCCAATTTATTTTGAGATACTTGTGATTAATTTCGTTTCCAATGAAATCTCCTTCTTACCATGTCGTAAGTATAGTCTAATCAAGTCCACGCATAAAAATCGAAAATTATTACATTCTCAACTATTATCAACATAATTCACAATTAAACGTCGTTTTTTAGTTAAGGCTCATTTTTGGTTTTTAAAACCTATGTTCAATTTTTAATATTGACGTTGAAATTATATAAAACATCAATATCATCCGGAATTGAAATAACATCACATAGTTTCAAATTAATTTTTTAGATTGATCAAAATATTGTTGTTTTGTTAGAAATAATATTTGTTTGTTTAATGTTGTTATTTTTTGTTTGTTGTTGTTTATTGTTGCTTATTGATTGCGACATAACTCCACTTATACTTAATGTTAAATAATTTTATCTTATAATTAAAGTAAAACTACTTATTGAACAAAATCTTGTCATAAGTTATATAAAACCTAAATTTATATAACATACATTTTAAAAGTTAATACACTTTATTTTATATTCCCATTCTGTAAATAATAATTACTCTTTATTTAACTTAGTATACTGAAAAAAATTACTTATTTAATACTAATAGGCAGGTAATAATATTTATAACATCAGAATTATGTTTAACTTTACAGAAATATATTACCTAAACTGACTGTACTTAATATAGAATACTTACTCAATTTCCTACTAGTATAAATTTCATCTCCTTAGAACGGCATGTGTTAGGATTGCTTTCCAAATTCTAAAGCTAATAGAATATTTGTATAGAGTATAGACAATCATTATTATTTTTTGAATAAGTTAATATAAAATGTCTCCTATTTGTAAAAAACCGACCACCGTTAAAATGAGTAACATTTTTCCCAGATTTTTTCTCTTGTGCATATTTTGACGATACAAACATTCCAGTATTCCACACATTCCATTCTCGACCCAAAACATTTTTATTCTAAATACTTAATTTGTAAAATATACCATTCGTCCGATGTATGATATTATGTGTATGTTGAAGCTTGAATAATGTATTGACCACCACTTAAATTAAAATTTACGTTATTACCATTTACCACACACACATATATAGCGGCCTTGGTCAGATGTCTGTGATGTAACTAAGTAGTGAATTTTTTTTATATTATATTGATTGATAATTAGTTTTGCATCTGTTGGTTAACAATTAACATATATAATAATAATAATATATAATAATTGATAATTCCAACACTTTTTCAATGATATTAGTGATTTTTATGTATTTGTTGCTTAATTGTACTTAAGTATTCAAGTTATTCATAATGCTTTCCTTAAAATAAAAGACAATAATAATTATTCCAGACATTAGCCATTAAATCAATTGAAAGCTGTAATTTTTCCAATCTGATTAATTCGCCCATATTTTTTCTATTTTTTATAACGCTATTAATATTATGCCGAAATAATTATTACATGATTGGTATTATATTTGTTTCTGAATTTGTTACTCACGAGTATTTATTAAATTGTTGGGTCAAAAATAAATAAAATAACTATATTAACTGAGTGAGTTTCGGATATATCCACATCGAATGTTGTGTGCCAACGTTTCGGACTCTTTGCAGAGTCCATCTTTAGGGCAATAGTGGTCTCGACTGTTCAAATGCCGTGACCATACGAAACGTTGGCACACAACATTCGATGTGGATATATCCGAAACTCACTCAGTTGATATATCAATCCACGAAAGTTTTAACGCATTCATATAATTATATTATTTCATCAAATTGTTGTACTAAAGAGGCTATTAGATATTTTATTAATTCATGTTATTGTGTTTTTTAATAACAATTATTAAACCCAAAATAAACATTCAATTTTATTTATTTAACATTTAAGTTTAAGTTAGTTTTGACACCAGCTTACACATCCTCTTACGCCTCATAGTTTTACCCGGCAATCCCGAGCACTTCTACTTGAGCTATTAAGCCCACACACATCAGTATACTACAGACATCAATTATAATGTCATATACTATAATAAAACACACATTCTTATCTTTAAGAGTAGATTTAATTTTAAATTATATGTCTAACAAGTTTTCCTCTCAAAGCTTCGTCGACGATTTGCATTTCTAGCAGCGTTCAACGCTCCAGTGGACACTGGCCGAGACGCTCTCCTGTTGTTGGCCGCACCTGCCCCTGTAATTGAATCTGAATCGTTCAGGCCAAACGGTCGGGAATCATAGTAATCGCTTATGGTTCTTGGGCCTCCGCTCGAGCTATACGAGTTAGCCCGGAACGCTTCGGGCAGAACCCAGTCGTTGGCCGCTTGATCTTGACAGTGGTTCGGACTGTACTCCGGACTTATGTCAATCGACAACGGCTGTGAGCCTATCGAACTCCGATCGTCCAGTATGTCTTGCCAGTCCTGAGGTACGGGGTTGTCAATATCAGCATCAATATCTACATAAGGACATTCCGGTACAGTCAGTGATCTGGGCGCCACAAATTCTGCGTTATTGCAGTCGCTTAGGAAGTTGTCCACCATCTCACCGGTGTCCGGCCGAGGCCGTTGGAGAACGTCATTTTGTTGTGCGTGCTCACAGTCGTTTTCGGTCGTTTCCACAGTCTTCGAAGTCACTATCTTACGCGTTTTAGTCACCGTAGGACAACAGCTAGTACTGGCCGGTTGGCTCGACAAATCGTACGTCCCACGTCTGTCTTGTGGTACGTCGTAGGTCCCGCGCCGGTCTTGTGTCACGTTGTACGTTCCTCGTCGGTCTTGTGATATGTCGCACGTAGTAAATCGGTCTTGTGGTACGTCGTAGGTCCCGCGGCGGTCTTGCGGTACGTCGTAGGTCCCGCGACGGTCTTGCGGTACGTCGTAGGTCCCACGCCGGTCTTGCGGTACGTCGTAGGTCCCACGCCGGTCTTGCGGTACGTTGTAGGTGCTACGTCTGTCGTTCGGTACGTTGTAGGTGCTACGTCGATTGTTCGGTATGTTGTAGGTGCCACGTCGATCGTTCGGAGCTTCGCACGATGTGTGTAATCCGCTGGAGTTATAGGAGCTCTCGAATGACACTTGGTTGTTCGTGGGAGAATGGCAGGGTACTTCTCGGATGGCCACCGGTATTCTGGAGCCCGGATGATACGAAACAGGACGATCGACACGTCGGGGTATGGGAACGGGTATCCTGGACCTAGTTGGACAATCGTTTTGTCCTCTATACGTCGACCTCATGGGCGGTAATTGATTAGCCCCCCAAATGGGCCTGGGCAATTGAGAGCAGTTATGATTGAATTGTCCCACCATTACCGTCGGAGAAGCAAGCATTTGTGGCCAAATGCAAGTCTGCCGATTGTCCGGCATCTCGTTTCCGCCGGCGCAGCGCATTTGACACCACTGTCCAAATGGAATGAACCTGTTGAACGCTATGTCATTGATTGACGAATAAACATTCGAATCCAGGTTGCACATTTTGTTGGCAAGTTGACGTGGAGTAACATTCAAATTGATTTGTTCTAACGGCCGACACCCTTGACTGTCTGTAATACCGTTTGACGTCGTGTTTGAAGACTCGTTCGTCGAGTTAAACTTATGAATATCAAGAACGTTCTCTGCCCCATCACTTTTATTACACACTCGTTCATTCTGAAACTGGTTACATAACTCTCCAATGTTCGGTGGAATATTCTTTGTACCATCCGGAGATCCAGTGTTTGAAGGAGCATCTTTTATGTCACGACAAGGAAGTTCTATTTCCAATGGATTTGTTTGGTTAGAACAAAACTCGGTTTTCGGCGGAACAATATTTTTGTGCCAACAAGAAGATCCGTCATTCTGTTGGGTATTAGTTATGTCGCAACAAGGTATTTCGATGGCCGGCTGAGTATTGTTTTGGTTGCAACAAGCTGTTCCGGTGTCCGGTGAATTATCATTTTTAAGACAATTAGTAGATTGGATTTTCGGTGAAATATTCTTTTTGTGCCAACATGGAGATTCGTTTTCCGGTGGAACATTGTTATCGTTAAGACAGTTCGACTGGATTTCCTTTGGTTTGTCACAGCTATTCGGTGGAACTACTTCACACATATCTTGTGGGAGGTTTGTGCCACCATGCGTTTGAGCGGTATCATCATACTGTTCTGCCGTGTCATTGCAAATATCTTGTTCACCAGCTTTTAAAATGAAAATAAAACAGTCAGGAAAGTTAGAAAAAATACAACTATTAAGGTGTCTTTGTTCGGAATCTCTTTTCTGATCAAATAAAACGCTATGCTGATAAAAGACCCATTACGTGTACTAGGTAACAACATTTCTGAAGACATACCGCTATCGGAGAAATCTATGTTCAGAGTTTGGTCGTGATCGCTGAACTTTGGCTTTTTACACGGATTGGTGACTTTTAATTCGGTTTCGGTTGTCCTATAGATAATTTCCGGATCTAAAGTAAGACGGACGCGGCCCGGCAACACTTTGTTCACTATATTAACAGCTTGTTCATCCAAATCTAATTGAGTTTTGTCATGATAGCATTCGGGATGTCTGTACCCACCCAATAATTTAAAAACGTATGAAAAATACGGACATGAGTAAATTATAATAATATGTAGTCACCCTTCTATGCAGAACTCATTTAGAGGCCTCAGGGAACCATCTAATCTGCTGTGTTCGTACCATCGGAAATCGTGAAATTCGTTGATGACCATTTGCTCGTCAGTCATTATTTTCCTACATTCTTTTTCGGTTTTCATCCTATAAGACATAACCAATCAAATAAGCCACGATTAGCAGTGGTGAATGGGGGGGGGGGCTTATGGCATGACGCACGTACGTTATTAATATGTATGCATCTCATACACACTTTGATAAAACAAATTTATTTATTATTAATGAAATAGGTACTCAATCTGAAGTTTGGTATCAAGAACAAATAGTAAAATCGGTAATATATTCCTACCGTTGGCTCTCGTACATTTCATATACAGGGTGTAATGTAAAGTTCTACCGAGCTTCAAATGAGATAATTAGGATATGAGTCTAATAAATTATATTAATTTTAAAATTATTTAAAATAGATCTCGTATCTCATTAAAAAATGGTCTTACATTTAATTAAACAACAATTTTGTCCTTACATTTTACATTTTACATTTTGACATTAAAATTGTTTTAAGGAGGTATCATTTTAATTTGTTTTAAATTTCAAATTTGAGAAGCCACGAAAATTTAACCCTTTCGTTACTGACATCGTACGAGAATTTAACTTTAAAAATCGAATAAAATATTAACAACGTACTATCATTATCAAAAATATCTTTAAACACAAGTTCTAGTATAGATTGATGTTAAAAAAATCGACACAGCAATATTGATAACCAATATCAGTCCAATACAATACGTAAAAAAATTGTTGATTTTTTTTCGAAAAAAAAAAATTCCAGGAACGAAAGGGTTAAAAAAATAATTCTTGTTAGACTAGAGACACTAGAAAATAAAAAACTTTTCTAAAAATAGTTAAAATAATTTTACTACAAGAATAATTTACCAATCAATTGTAGCAAATTTTTTTTAAATTTCAATTACTTTAAAAACAACTGAAAGTTAACTACAATTTTAAATAATGTTAAACATCTTTACTAAAAAAGAAAAGCGTGGTCCCTATTCAACAAAGTCCCTAATAAATTTATCAGATAATATTTCAGATAATGGTTTGTATTGTAAGTTTTTTGTACTGTAAATTTGGTTCAATATTAATGTGTGACACATACATTTCAAAATACTTAACTCAATGAATTTGGACTCGGTTGAATAGGGGCCGCGATTTTCTTTTTAGTCAAAAATTAAACTTTTTTAATATTTTTAGAAAAACATATTTTTTAAAAAAAAATGTTTAATTTTTTACTTTTTAGTTCTATTAAAAGTACTTAATAATTAGTGAGTAGATCGCCAAATTAATTTTGGAAGATTTGAAAAAACGTGACATTTTAGTGAAATGACCCCCAGTATTTGCGACCTGGATGTCCGAGTCCAAATATTATTACAGGATATTGTATTGTCGCCCAAGATGAGTGTCTTGGCCATGTTTCAGTCCTGTACGACATCGGGATTAATTTTGCAATATTTGAAAAATACCCGTACAAACGTATGTACGTACGTACATGTTAGGGAGTTAAAGAAAAGCATGTAATTAGAGACAAACTTATTTCACAAAAATTACATTTTTACCAAAAAAATGATACTAATTTGTAAAAATTGAATATAAAATAATTCTAAGGGCATCACTGAATTGAGAATAGAATTCTAACCCAAAATGATGTGTCGGATGCTATATGTTAGTTTTGGTAACATGCCGTCCACTCTGTGGCCAGATACTAAAAAACCATTTTACATATAAATCAACAAACATTTTTTTTGCTGATTTCAAATCTGTACAATTATTATTTTTTAATGAGATACGAGTTTTATTTTAAATAGTTTTAAAATTAAATAAAAATTAATATCATTTATTGTACCCATAGAGCATCCTAAGTGCTTATTTTGAAGCTTGACAGAACTTTACATTATACCCTTTATAAACACCGATCTATAGAGAAAAAAAAATACATAATTCTAAACCTGTTTATGGCGCTACAAAATGATAACACGCTATAAATCAAGAGTGGCCAAACTTGTCACTGACAGACCTCTAAGATCTGCTCTTAAGTAATATTCGAATTATTGATAAATCACGGCGACTTACGGATCAGTTTCGCCGGAAGGCTGCGATTTGGAATCCTCTTCGTCTTCGATTTTCGCTGCGGAAGCTCGAGAACTGTGCAAACTAACGGCTCACGTTTATAATACTATTGTAAACAACACGAAACAACAACGTGAAACTCACCTTTCTTTTTCGTCGACTGCCGCGGCCACCTCGTCGTTCTCGTCTTCGTCGACCATCGCGTAATTGTGAACCGCCGGCATAAAGGATAACGCCTTCTCCCATTTGGACGCCGAACGAATTCCGATGGGGTAGTCGACTTTCTCGGGCAGGTTCCACGTGTCGATCGGGTAATCAGATCTAGCGTAGTAAGCCTGCAGTAAAGTGTCGGTGGCTAATAACGTGGCGTAGCTGGTCATGTCCGACGACACGGATGAAGTTTGCATCAAGCTGCTCTCTTCGACGGCGTCTTTTTCAATGACCAACATCGAATCGATCAGCTCCTTTATCTGTAGCGTCGGGCACGCAAAGCAACAGTTATAATATTTATATACATTTTTCTAGGGACCGTTATATTAAAATTAAAATAAACGCCCTGCGTTCCAACCCACGTTAATATTACCGATTTAGTGCTGTTGGTGATAAACTGTAACGACACTGGTGGGCCGTGTTTGAACAGACTCAAGTTGCCTTCGGTGTGCTGAAGAGAGACCAGCATCAACTTAATGTAAGCGCACTTCAGCGACTTGTCCGTTTCGTCATCAAGCTTCTGCAACCAAAGGCAAGCCCGACGCTTACCTATAAACGCATGACTTTAGGTGGACTATTACAAAATACAACAATAAAATCGTATACACAAATCTATAATCGTTAATCACAGGCGCACGCACGGTGAGAACAGAGTGTGCGGCTGCACCCGTGCTTAACTTTTGTGGTTATACCGTTGGACAACGTATTTTCTACCATTTATTATTATGGTTGTTCTTAAAACATTTTATTAAATGGAGAAATCCATGCCGAATTGTACCCCATCAAACTTTTTGCACATTTACCCAAATGGGTTGTTTTGTGTAAAGAAAAAAACCAAAAGTTACTCTTGGAAAAATAGATTAACGTTTTGTCTGCGATTGGGACTAGTTTTAAAATACTCCAAAATGGTCAATAGAATGTCTGTTGTCAGACATTTAGAAAAAAAAATCTTTACTTTGCTACATTGTGAATCCAACAACAATTTGAAATTGAAAAGCTAAAAATAAAACAACAGGTAAAAAAACCGTTTTGTGCAGTTTTATTATTGTTTAAACAATTGTGTTCAGAAAAAAATTATTGCTTATTTTAGACTTTAGGGACTGGGGCACTACCTATATTGGGTTAGGTACTCAAATTTAAGTTTTGCACCCTATTGTAAAAAAAATCTACGCAGGCCTATAAATAAAATTCTATAAAAAATTGGTGCATACGCGCAGAGTCGAGAAGTTTAAATATATTGTTTTTCACCAATAATCGGTAAAAACTGTAGTCCTTGTCGAGCTCATCGTTGTCGTGTTTTTCGTTGGGAAGTTCAGTCGAAGGTTCAGTTTCATTTTTGTAATCAGTTTCTCCTGACTTTGCAAAACTTAACTCACGTTCTACCATATTATTTAAAAAATTTTAAAATATTTATGCACTTGGGATTTTAAGTTTTTTAATTTTTATAAAATATTTTTTGATGTTTGACGGTAAAGTTGTATTGTTTGATATTTATAGTAAGTCGTTGTTAAGTCATAGTAACGATGAACACTGTTTTAAAGCCAACGTAATAGGTACATAATGATAATTTCTCTGATACAAAATGGTAAAGTTTCGGTCCTAATTTTACACATATTTTGTGTGCTTAGTTATTAAATATTTTTTCCTGTATACAAATAATGTTTACTATAATCTATATTTTTAGGGGTGTGCGAATAATGATGAACTGAATTGAATTAAATAATGTGTTCAAATCCGAAAATTAATTGAATAGCTAATTTTTTAAATAATGCAAATAATTCGTTGATTTGGTCGGATGAATAATGAATAATTCGTGAATAATCATTATTGTATAGTTTATGGATAAATAAAAATTGATGTATTGAATTTTGTAAATTAATTTTACTCTAAATAAGGCTGAAATATTTTTAGAGCCTTTTGGATGTTTTATTTATTTATTTTTTTGTGTCTGGACTCACGATATCTCGTAAACCGCTGAACCGATTTCTTCGTGTAGTAACTTTGTAGATCATAAATAATACCTGGAAGGTACATTTTTGGGCTAAACATTTTAAAAAAGTCACCCCTTCCCCATCAAAATGGAGAAAAACACCTAAAACATTTATACATTTTTCTACTTAAAAATACGATGCTCTATAACTTTTTTAAAAATATTCGGAAAAGTTCCAAATTTATATGAATTGTTCTTCAAACATAGTACTATCGATAAACATTAACAAACCAAAAAAATATCATAAACCCTTTCCCCTAGAAGGGATAGAATTTTTTCTAAAAACAGGGATACTATCCACCCTGCACAAGACTAAATATTAAATTTTAAGTACATTATTGCTGGTCCCACGATATCTTCTAAACCGCTATAACTGGTTTGTGTGGAACGTACTATCCACAGATTCGCATCGAAGCGTTTATTCAAAAGTGATTTTATCAGTTTCAGTTAAAATAAAATCTGTAGACCTATGACCTCTCCGTATGCCCTGACTAAACATATGTACTTTAATATAGTATACTAATAATTATTCAAGTGATTACAAAATATAGGATTGAAAAACGCGGAATATTCAAAGTCTTAAAACATACTGTTACAATTCAGTGTGGTGAGTGGATCACAGTCACGACTCACGCCCAGACTGACCACCTTCTAGGGCTAAGGATCTACCCTAACATAAAATAGATACATATATAAACTATAAATGTTTAAAACCTTAGGTTTTACACCTGATACCTGGTTCCTTGGTAATCCGGAGATAGAACAGGCGGAGTGACACGCACAACAAATATAAAAAGGAGCCAAATAATTAGGTAATTATTAAATAAGATTTTGACGCGTAGAAGGTAAGAAGTTAACTAAATATAGTATGTAGGCAGATGCGAGTGCTATCCACTGGTACGAGACGTATCACTCTCCTCTCCTCTAACTATTATATTATAATATATTTTATAGTGAGTGCTCAACCCAGGGTGCTATATACGGCATATTACACTCCATAGGTTCGGTTCGGAAGTAACGATAGCTCTCAACCGTGAACAATATTATTATTGCTATTTGCAAATAATATGTCAGGCAAAAATCATGAGCTACGATTCAAATTTCAAACGCCCATCTTAGGAGGAAGCAGAGATATGAGAGTTAGAAAAACCGGATGAAATGGTTCGTGTAAAGATACACTGATATAAGACATTGCTTGAATTCTAAAATCCTAAGTATGAGGTTGCTACTGATAGCTATATCCATATATAGGTAATTGAGACAAAAACGTGAACAGTCAGATCAATATTCGTAATCACGAGCACGAGCATTCATCATGAATCATGATTTATTAAAATATTATACCTATACAACTAAACCTTTCCAAATAAGTATTCCATACAAATTTCCATTCCCTGATATTGAATGATTACAAAAATTAATTCTCCTAATGGAAATGAATCAGTTAACATTTTTTAAGTTTTTCAAACTTAAGAAATTTGTCACGAAACTGTACGATACAAAAACATTTAAACATATTTTTTACAATGCCTGTTTAAGCATATCAATTCTAAAAGAATGTCTGAATAACATGGTTTGATTATTTTGTTTATTTGATCCTAACAAATTGGGCCGAACAAATTACAGATGTTTTATACCACTTCAAGGCCGTGACTAATCCTATACTCAGATCAAATTAATTAATTTTGGACAACCAAAAAAAATGTACGGTTATTTATCCAAACATAGTTTGCCCACTAGGTCGAATAATAGTTAATTCAGTTAATGTATTAACTGAATTCAAAAAATTGTTTTATATTTGAAAAACATTTAATTGTTGTGACTAAATCTCAGTTCAATAAATAATAAAAATTCGATTTTAGATAGTATAAAACAAATTACAATCGATTTACAAAAAACAATTTAGTTACAAGATTTGGACTTAGTCAGAAAAATTATTGTATAGTCAAAAAAATGTAACTTAGTTGTATAATGTATTTATACAAATATAGGGTTGTATGTAAATTAAAACTCATTTGATAACATTTTAAATAATAAATTTATTAACAATAGAAAACAATTTTAAAAATAATTCTTTATTCAAAATATGTTGTACCGATTCATAATAAAAAAAAATAATACACAATAATATGATACAATAACATTATAATTTTTAACTCTGCTTATTAGATTGATTTTGGATTTGCATAAAAATTGTATTTATTCAAAAATATATCATTGAAAAATATTATTATTATAATTTAACTAGAATCATCTAAAAAAAAATCATCCTAGTCAGTTCTTTTGGTATAAAAATAAAAATTATTTTTTAGGAATTGTATTATTATTTTTCCACGTCTTTTTCCGAAGTGAGAAGTTTAAATCGTACTCTGTGTTAACTGCATAGTATACATTCGCCGTCATTGGTAAAATCATTTCTACACGAGTAAAAAAACATTCATAACATAATGGTTATTGTTAAGACTTTACTTATTAACATATACAATTATTAAATATAATTTTTTTACACATACCTTTATCGGGTAAAACTTGCGACAAAACATAGTTTTCAGGATCATCATCAATACAAAATTTTAACATAGCGTTCCTAATCACTTGTGGTGTACGTTCATTATTGCTTAGCATAATACTTTTGTACATTACAACTCCTGAAACCATAAATCATTTATAAATCTTTTTGAATTTTGAATGATTCTTTTTTTAATAATTTTGAACTCTATACAGGAGACCATACAACATATAACAATGTGTAATTTTGGCACATTTCTGTTTTAGCCCTTAACCATATTTTCACAAAAACGAGACCCGGGCCAATTAATTCCTTTAGTCTAAAATCCCTTAACCTTGAAAAATCCGATAGCAGGGTTTTTAGATAAAAAGTATAAATATATTTGACTGTATTTTCATTTTTGTTTTAGTTTTCCTACGGCTTACCTTTTCAATAAATAGCAGCCTGTTAAATTAAAAAAACGTTAGCTCAATGATTTCCTCATACATTTTTTTTTTTGATTTGATTATTTTAATTTTTTATTAAAAAACTTCTTGCGTAAAAAGTAATCAAAATTGTTAAAATTCGAAAAACGGTTCTGAAATTCAACTTCTGTAACTTGATAAAAACAATTTTTATTGTGAAGTAACAAAGTAGTCATTTTAAGTGTCATATTACAACTTTAGGAATCTTTTTTTGAATTCTAAACATTGATAAATTTTAATGCTTTTAATGAAAAATTTAAATTCCCCATATTAATCAAATGCAAAAAAAAAACATAAGGAAGTACATAGAGCTAGAGATCTGAAACTTTTGGGAGTTCTAATTTGTAGTGGCTACTATAAATTGGAAAGGGGGTAGGGAGGAAAAAAAAATTGTTTTAACACAGTCTAGCACCTGTTTCTAAGCCAGTGTAATATACAATTATTGCTTATATTATACATTATACGATATCATATAATATATTTTATGCATGCAAAATATTGAACATTATATAACACACCGTCAGTCTCCACGTTTACAGCATCAAGCGTAATGCGAATTATATAAAAATCAGATGTCGTGTTAAAAGTTGAGTTGTTAATACTGTTTTTAACCGATTGATTGGTATTGTTACTTCCCGATATAGACATATCAAATGACTGTAAAGAATAACTACTAGATGATGAAGACAAATCAAGCAACGAATCCTGTAAAAATAATTGTCGTATAGTATTTTAACAATTTATAATAAAAGATACAAAATAAAGAAAACATTTTTTTTTTTAACTCTAAAGGTAACAATATTCTAAATGATAAGATACCTGTTTGTCTAGAGAATTATTTGGTGAGTGTAAACCATCATCTGATAAACCGTAATAACTTTTAACGCTACAATTACTTGATATTGAGTCATTCTTTTTATGCTCATAACTGGAAAAGTAAAAGACAATTATTTCAGTCACAATCAAAATCAGCTTACCATAAAAAATTTTTGACATACTTGTATTTCTTTCCGGTGCCAATAATCGAATTAGCACAAGAAGAGGGTAAATGATCTGGTGGTTCTATCTGACAAGAAATTCTGAATGCCTCTCGATCGTCCAAGACCAAAATAGAATGAAACCATTGGTCAAACACTGTATCTTCTGGTATGTTATAAGAATTTGCTGCACCTTGGAGTAACTTTATCTATAAATTAATCAGATAATCATAAATTTACTATTAAGACACAATCATTTTTGTAAAATAAAAATACATTTTTAAAAAATCTTATAATGTAAATTGTAAAATATAAATAATTTGTTTGGTATACCTAAAAGCAATGTCAAAAATTTGGACCAAAAAATGTATTAGGTTGTGTCTAAATGTACTTTGTATTTGTTTAATGATAATGTAAGTGAAGTACGTTTTTGAAATGTGATTTGAAAATCAAGATTTTGATTAATTTGATGAACGCTATCAAAACATTTTATTACATAAGTATATCGACGAAAAGCAGAAATGTAGCACCGTTCATGTTCTAGGAAAAACTAACACCGTTCGAGGCTTCTTACGAAAACTAGCACCGTTGGCAATAATGGGAACAATAGTACAAACAGTGCTAGTCTTCGTAAGAACTTGAACGGTGCTACTTTCGTACGGGGGTCGATATGAACTAGTAGTAATCCAAATATTAGATTTATAAAAATTAAATATGTGTTTAAAAACTAGTTTGTAGTTTCTAAGCCTTGTCATCTTATCGCAATACAAATTAATCTAAAAAGAGTACAAACTATGATCATTTTTATAAAAATTATATCATTAATCATTTTTTATATAGAAGACATAAATAAAAATAATAATTGGATTATCTTAAAAGCCTTAATAACAAAGATTAAGATAAAGAAACTGGGTTAGGTAATTAATATTATTTTATAAATCTCAGAAAAAAGTACTATGGAAAAAAAATACAGAGAAAAATGCTAAGGAAACGATTACAATAAAAAAAAACTATCAGGAATAAATATAGAGAAATATATTTGAACTTCAATACACTTACTTGAGCCAATACTTCGAATTCTTTTCGTTTTTTATCAAAATTAATAAGACCATCAGGTAAAACGTCAGGTGTAGCTGCATCAATCATAGTCAAGTCAGTTAAAAATGTTCCTAAGTAAGGAATTGTGCCTATGTTTAATTTCTAAAGTGTGGGAGAAAAACATCCTATGTTATATAACACTTGAATAATATACGTTGTGACTTTAAAAGTGTTTACTCACACTAATTTGTTGTTTTTGAATTATTTTTTGTAAATGTCTATCGTTGTGGCCAAATGTATCAGCGAATTTTGCAGTACCTTCTCTTATTAATAATTTACGTTGTGCCCACTGATTATTGTCTTCACTAAATATCCGAGCCAATTCTTGGAAAAGTTCTACCTGTTAATGAATTTTTTGTAAAATTGAATATTTTATCATTTTTAGACAATAAATTAGTTTGGAACCAAATGTGCCAATAAGTTTTAGAAATAAATCCAAACCTATAATAAAGTATGTCTTATTATTATTTATAACATAACAAATTATTAAATGTATAAAACTAATGACTGTAACTTGATGCAAATGCATTTTTATTATAGGTACAATATACGATTCTAGTCTTTATAAAAATATTATTTAAAAATTTAACTAAAATGAATAATAAAAAAAAATTTGAGTTTCTTAACTTTCCAGCAGGCGCGCTGTTGTAAATAATCAATCAAAGTAATTTTAGCATATGTTTTGTGTATATATACAGTGATCATTTTATCGTGAACCACTCAATATCTCATATGGTTTTTTCCATAATGTTTTTTTACAATTTGATCTCGATTTTACACATTTTTTTTAGATTTTACACCCCTCCCAACTAAGCTTTTTTAAAAGGAACATTTGAAACTTAAATGGTAACACATACGTTTCATCAACTTTTTAAATTAAGAATTAACTAGTTTTAAAGTTACCAGAGTTTCAAGTTTAGGGCAGGAATATGTGTGCATAATTCAAATCTGTTAAAACAATTTTTTTCAAACTATGCCAATTATAAAATGTGCGAACTCTAAGTTAAATTTGCAGTAAAACTCATCATTATACACTTATATAACATAATAGAGTAATAACAACATTTCATTATTATAAGTTTCCCCAAATTGTTTGTACACAGCGTTATTCAAACATCATGTTACAGTAATTTTTTTCTATTAAATAATTGTTTTAGAGAAAAAAGCTACAAATAATATTCTTATTATACTTAATGGTCAAAAACTATATATAATATTTAAGTTATAAATACATATAAATTTTAAAGCTTAAAAGATAATATTAAGGGGTGACTTTTAAAAGTTGAATAGCAACCTATGTATAAGATGTACTTTTTTTTCCACATGTATCCAAGGGAACTCTTGGGAACCAGCCTGGTGGGGCATTACTTTCCCCAGGGCTACCGATGCTCTTTATTGTACTCAAAACACAATATATTATACAACATTGTTGAGAAGGTGCTCCACAAACCCTCTCTACGTATTAAAAATAAACAAATTTTACCTAGCTTAACACACCCTTTCCGGGGTATGTATAAGATGTACTTAAGAAAAGAAATGATGTAATGAATATAATGGCTATTCTATAACCAGTTTTGGATAAATACTTCTTGAGTTGTTAACATTAAAAGGTGGACCATAGTTTGGGTAGATTGTAATGTTATTTTTATCGACACACAACAGTAATCCACACTTGGAAATTTACTTAAAGAGTATACTTATTAAAAACTGATTATCGACCAATTATCATTGTCATTACATAATTTTGTTTTTAATAGTTCCTTAATTTAAATATTTATGCCACTACTTAACTTCCCACAATTACCTTTTAAAGACAATATTTTTTTACTAAATATGAAATATATTTTTTATTATCATTAAATATATAAAGATTTCATTAGAAAATTTTTAGCTAATACAATTATTTCATTGAAAAAATCACTGCAACATGAAATTTGTATTAGTTGTATATTTTCAAACGAGGTTAAAATAATACAACAGTAAATTTACCTTATCCCGGGGTACTGATTGCCATGTTTTTTGTAATCTAAACACAGAATTAGATTGCAAACCGGAAATGATAGCTTTCAACGATGAAAAATTTTTTAGTACTCTTAATTCCTGTAAGATTATAAAAAAAAATTGTGTAATGAAAATATACTCAAAAGCCATTTACAATGACAAGTAATTTAATAGCTATGAAATTATAAAATCTTTACTTGTGCAATATCAATCCATGTTTCAATAACATGTGCCCTGTCGGAGTTTAAAGCCAATAAAACCGTGCTTATAACTCTCAAAGAAACTGCATTGAATTGATCAATCGTAGCTAAAACGGTAGGTGCAGACCCTGCTCTTTTATTTTTAGACCATACAGCTCCCAAACATTGATGGGCAACCATTCCTTTTAATACATCCTAATAAAAATAATGTATAGGCAAAAACAACATATTTATAGTTTAACATCATGGGTGTCTATAGGTATATTTAATTATTACATACTCTATCCATTCTTGTTAATTGTTCAGCAAAATGTCTTTCTGCAACGTCAGGAAAGTTGTAAGGAGATTGAGGAGATTCACCAATAACTAAATCGTAGTCATCACAGATGTAAGTAGATGTCTCATCTAGAAATAAATAAATGTAATTATTTAATGTGAAACAAATTTTGTGACGAGCATGTCGAACCAAGTTGCTTGCATTCTTTAAGATATCTATCTAATCTATAAGTTGCTTTAATGTGAAGTTCCGTTTTTGGTAAATAAGAATAAGTAAACGAATGTAAACATCGTAAACAAGTATGTAATGGAGGGTCACGAAAATCTTCAGGGTACGAATCTAGCCATACGTGTAGAGCTGATATGACTGTTCTAAAATAAATATAAAAATATTAGTTAAACAAGTACAGTAATTGCTCAAATTGGTTAATACTAATACTTGATATGTAAACATACTTTTTAAGTGGATCAATCATAGTTTCTGATAAGTTGAATTTATTGTTTACTAAGTATTCATATCTATAATTTAAAAAAATTAATAATAAGTTGTATGTTAATAGTTTAGCATTTTATCATACCTTTCAATTAATAGAGATAAAACATGATGTGAGGATGCAAATGTTCTATAGGTGGCAAGAAAAATATTCACAAAAGTAGATTCTAATTCACCGTCATCTGATGCCAAGCTATTAACAAGCTTTTCAATCGTTCCTGCTTTAATAAATTTCACTCTGACTGTTTCCCATTCTAAATGAGATCTTTCATCATCTGAATCCTACATATAAAAAGATGTCTTGAATGTCACTCACAATTTAAACATACTTCAAGAAAACAAGGACATACCAATAATGTTTTTGTGGGGTTTTGATAGCGAACTTTTTTTAAATAAATTGTGTAAACAGCACCTTCCTCTCTCTCTTCACCCCATAATTTCCATGTTGGCTGTAAAGAAAATAATGTCGATATATTGTATGTGTTCAACTTTTAACAAAATGATTTAAATTAGAAAATCAATTTAAATTTAATATATTAAAATATGTATTTGATAATTTAAAAAACTGGTTTAATGTACATCTTAAAAAAAGAAGAAAGTTAAATGACATCAAAATTTATCTTAAAAATTGCCCAATTTAGCATCAATTTCAACCAATGACAATAACAGTGGAATGTCAAATTTAAAATTATATACATGCCAATATTACTTTTTAATCATCACTAAGGCAATTATTGCCTCTCAAACTTTTGTTTGTCACTGGACAATAGGACAAGTGAAATTGATTGAATTTGCGTTAGACGTGCATTTTTAAGAAACATAATTCTAATATCCTCAAAAATTTTTAATTTTGTTATCATTTTTTTTTTTCTAGAAAAAATATCTTTCATTACATACAGCAGTAAGGTACATCGCGGCTAATATAAGTCATTGTTGATACTGATTGAATAACACTGATTGATGTAAGGTAGTAAATTTAGTAAAAGAGTTAATTTACAGTGTACAAACAGTACAACCTTTTTTTAGAAGACAACGGATTACAACAGGTATCTGCCAAATCATCAGTGACCCGAATGAATAAATTAATCCAGGAAGTGGCCTACTTACAGGCTAAGATAGTTGTTACACATTAAAACGCATTGTAAAACAATAACCGGGACGAGCGTTATATCTCGTGTCATCTTCTAAACAAAACACTGACGATCTACTGTTTAGATCTAATGTACTCACGGAGCTTTCGGCATCAAAATTCATACTTGTTCGCCTACATCATAATTGCGGAAATTCCGAATCACCGTGGTCGCTGTTTTTCAGTATCGTGACGCTGACAAGCCGACTGACGATGACCATAATTATAATATTTTGATATCTAAATTATTACTATAATATTATTATTTTATGTTCGAATATATCTGTCGGACGGCGTCGGCGGTTCACGATTTCATGTTAAATACATTAAACACAAATTCTGTCGTTCCGATCTGGACACTGTCGATGCTGTTATCAGTTTTCAAAATCGTTATTGTTGTTGTTAACAGTTCACACAAACGCATACAACAGCTATAACAGGTGAACGGTTCTTTGGACGGATTGCCGATCGGGTGGCGGCAGAGAGGCGACGCGACGAACCGGTCCGACGAGTCCTGGCACATAATAATCTTATAACGGTGTTGCCACCGCTCCAACGCCAAGCAGAGTTCTAATACACAGATAAACTTCACTTTTTACTCTTCAGGTAACAGCTCATCTCGCAGTCAACACTCAACTCAACTGGTCATATGGCGCCAGCGATCACAACGACGTTATACGTTATATTTTAAGGGTGGAGAGTAGACTTCCCCTCTCGTCCTAACTTTGAAACTAATTATCCAAAACTGGTTATCGACCAGTCAAAATGTTTAGCAAATGATTTTTAATTTATCAAATATATACGGTACCATTTAAAAAACTTAAGTTCATGCGGTTTTAACATATAAGAAATCTGAAATACGGTTATATTTTTTAAAAAATATATTACATTTGTCCCTACTAAACTTAAAGAAAATGATAAAATCACTATAAAATAAACACTTTGATGCGAATCTGTAAAGATAAAAGTACAAATGCCGATAAAAACATTGTTATGACAATAATATATGCTTAAAAATGTATTTTTAGTAATAAGGTGGAATGTGGATAAGATTAGGGTTCACGTCTGTCCATAATCATTTATTGCAGTTGTAACCCATTTATCGTAAGTTAACAAATTCACTCACACATAACCACCTAGAAATTGACTTCGATCAAAGTCAGAGGCGACGCGACGAACCCCCCATCCTTTTTGGATTTCACTAAATAAAAAAATGTTTGACTACAGAATTTAGAGAAAATTCCATGAAATAGTTCAAACCTTAAGCCCTAACTATACCCAAAAAAGCTAAATAAAAATTATTATATCTAAAGAACATTCCAAACAAATTTGGAACTAACTAAAATATTTTTTAAAAAAATTAGGTATAGAGCGCCGTACTTTTTAATTGAAAAATATGTAATTTTTTTGAGCGGTTTTGTTCGATTTTGAAGGGAAGAAGTTGAACTTTTTAATTTTTGACCCAATAAAGTACATTCCTGGTTCAATTTCTGGTCAGTGGTCTATAACTACACGAAGAATAATCGGTTCAGTGGTTTGATAGATATTGTGGATCAACCTAAAAACAAATTATGAACAAACCTTCTCAGTTCAGTCGAAGCTAAAATAACCCATTTTATTTGTTAATAAGCATCATTCTCTATGTAAACAGATTGTCTCTATATATTGTCTATAGCATCATCAGAAACCTATAAAATTACCTTAAAAACTGGCTGATGCCAAAATTTAGTTTGTAGATGGTAAAACCATAAAATGTATGAGGTATCGTCGACTTAGTAGTAGGTAATAATAGAACGTAGGTAACAATTTTACCTTTATGTCATATTATTTCATAAAGTCAATTTGGGTGTTAGTACACGCACTCTGGAAAAATACTGATATTACTGAAAATTACGTTTCATTTAAATCCTAATATTTAACTGTCTAATATACTCTGCTAGTTTATGATCATTACTATAAACTCCAAAATAAACTAGATTACCATCAAAACTGTTACATGTGGACAAATCGATAATACATTGTTTTTCTAACTTAAGTGCCTAGTTCTAATTTAGCAATTTTTAATATATTATTCAATACATAGTACTATTATAACAATATATAACACTATTAAAACAGCTCTAAAAATTAAAAAAAAAGTTTATAGGTGTTATTTCAGGAAGGGATAGTTTATTAAATTGAAATAAGTAAGGAAAATCGCATAAGAAATACTAGGTAATAAAGCAGAGTTTAGAGGTATTTTGAAAGCATAATCGGGTTAATCGGTTGTGGCTCAGTTTTAGTCAGGAGAAAGATTATTCGAAAGCGAGTGAGAAATTTTTAAACCAGAGGTATTTTGGAATATTGAGGAGCTGGTTGCAACGACACCAGTCCACTTAAAACCATTGCACACACTCCTCTATGCAGTCTGTCAAATTCATAACAAACCGTCAATCCATTAATATCGGTATATTTAATAATTAATTCATACTAGCATTCTAAGCTCTTAAATACATGGTGACCTAGATCCTGTTATGCTGATTTTTTTCTTATAGTTTAACTATTTGTATAATTATGATATAGTTGGTTATAAAAAATCTAATTGTTATTAGATACCTTGGATAACCTTTCACAATTTAAGACAACTTTTTTTTTTACTTAATTAGTTATAAAATTCTCAATTATATTTTCCCGTTATTCAATTTAACTTTTCAGTTTTACCGTAAAATATATTTACATAAAACTAAAGATAAATCTTTTAATTAAATTTACAACTATAAAAAAAAGTAGGTACCTACCTAATAGGTTGTTTTTTTTGTCACCTAAATTACAAGTGAGTAGTGTTTTCATATAAAGATAATCAGAAAAACATAATTTTTTTTTTTTTAATTATCACATCCATAAACTCACAATGTGGATATTAATTTTAATAAAAAAACTTTATTGTACATTTTAATATTTATTACAGTAAATTGTCATAAAATAAAAGTAGACAATAGTTTTACTTTGAAATATTATTTATAGCTTAAAACTCACATATTATAATATTTAGCACACAGTATAATAAATTATAAATTAATAAACATTTTGCATATTTGATATTAATTAAATGATGATGATGTAAGGTAAAAAATACAGTTGTAAAATGTAGAAAAAGACTATGAAGACTCTTTTATGATATAATACTAACATATGTTTTTTAAGCAAGTATGTAAATTATTAATAAACAAAATAAAATATTTTTTTATTATTAATAACTTTACGACTAGTACAACGTCAAATAGTCAATAAGATTATGCTGAACACTATGCTAAATTATTTACAAGTTAAGGTTTTGATTTGAAATAATTACAAATTCAATGGTTAATTAGTGATTTTTAAAATAATTATTTTAATTATATCTTTAAGTATCACAATCACAATATTTTAAACTAACGGAAATTGTTGAGTAGTTACTAACTTGCAACAAATGAAGTTAAAAAATTAAAGTAAACATTTACCATTTCTATCATTTTTAGGGTTAACCATGTAAAAACAATACTTAAGAGATCAGAAAAAAACAATTACTTTAATAAAACAGTCTTTAGGCAACCAACGAATATGTCAATAAAAAAAAGTCAATATTATTTCATCGACTAGCCATCACATTTCCTAATATTTTGATAAAAAAATATCTTAAAATTCTAAAATGTTGGCTCAATGGTTTTATACACAGCTCAATAATGTGTTTTCATACAAAGGTATTTTACACAATACAAAAATACAAAATAATAATACTACTTACAAATGCACATGTTGTGGAATATTACTAAAACGACTCATAACTTCTTGTCTTACACTCTCCAAGACTTGATAGATTGTACGGAAAGATGGACGAGCATCTGGCTTTCGACTCCAACATTGCTTCATAAGTTCGTATGCCAACTTGGGAGTATTATCAGGACAGCCCATAACATTTCCGTCTTTGATAAATTTAACAACTTCTTCATGTGTCATCCCATAGTAAGGTTGAAGAGCAAATGAAAATATCTCCCAAAGACATACGCCAAAAGCCCAAACATCCGATTCTACTGTGTACTTGTTATAGAGAATACTTTCCAACGGCATCCATCGTACGGGTATGGCATCATGTTCGTCGCCTTTGTAATAGTCTTGTAAGTACATTTTTTGAGACAGTCCAAAATCGGCAATTTTAACAGTCATTGTGTCATCAATTAAACAATTTCTGGTCGCCAAGTCCCTATGTACAAACTTTCTGTCAGACAAATACACCATACCAGAAGCTATTTGCTGTGCAATTTTCAGCATATCTAAATTTGTTAAATTAATATCACGATAGACATCTCCCCTAGCTTCGACCGAATGAACAATATAATTACTAGGCGCACAAGAACGAAGAAATTCATTCAAGTCACCCCGTCCCATGTACTCAAAAAGTAAGCACATAGGTTTTCCTAGTGCACATACGCCAAGTAACTTCACAATATTAGGATGTTCAAATTCTGAAAGTAAACACGCTTCTCTTTCAAAATCAACTTGCAGATCATTGGAAGCTTCGTCTTTCAGCATTTTTACAGCAACTAATGTAAATTCTTCATCTTTTAATAAACCAGGAGCTTTGGCCTGGAGCAAAAGATTTCAAATTACATTAAAAATATTAATCAGTTATAATTAAGTTGTCTTCAGTACATACCATAAATACACGACCAAATGCACCTTGTCCCAAGTCTTTTACGTAAATTATATTGTTTCTGGGGAATTCGAGTTTTTCTAATTTAGGGTTTGAACACATTCCATAATGGTGATAGGCAGAATTGCTGGGTAACTTATCCAAATCAATATCAATATCCTATCAACAAGTTTTCAAACAATTTAGTCAAAGAATTACTCATTTTAAATGCATTCGTGTATAATGAAGTATTACTCGAGTTAATGTTGATCTATATGATGACTTATTGGACATCAATTTATTGCACAACACTAATATTAAAATAGAAACTAATACAATTAATATTCCAACAATCACAAGAAATATGTGTAAATGGGTGGTTGAAGTCTGGTCAATAAAAACTTGAAGATAATTCAAAATTTTATCAAATGAAAGGGTGCTGATAGTGGTAACATTATGAGTTGTATCCACTTTTGGATGAATCACCTCGGCAGTTATGTTTTTATCTAAATTTCCAAAAGAAATACAAAGCTTAGAAAAATATTGATATATAAATATATACACAGTATACATATAATAAAAAAGTAGATAAATCTTACCACAAAGCGGTATTTCACATTTTTGCCACCTTACATCAGGGTCCATAGTGTAACACCAAGGACTTGGTTCTTCACCTCCTGCATTGCGACAATAGTTTTCTGAGTTTTTAAGTTCGGGAAACACATTTGGGGGTCTTATAAACTCATGAGGTACTTTAGAGTCCCATCGTTGGCATGTCAAACCAGACTTTGTAACATTTAATGTTCCTTGATAGAAACGACCATTTCCGCGGATGCAATCAGCTATATAACAATAAAATCATTTAATATTTAAGTTTGATGCATATAAAATAATAATAAAAGTGTAGTCACACTACTTATATTTTAATAGCAGACTTAGAGAAGAAATAAAAAGGTTCCTCCATTATTAAGGAACATATGGCCTAGAATATTATTATGAGGGGATTAAGTTTATTAAAAACTTTCAATAATTCAAAATTTAAAGAGAGTGAAAAATGAATTCAGACTGTCGAAATTTGTTAGTAATAAATATTCAAGTTATAAAGAATTACTGTATTTGTTTCTAAGCGGACTGGTATACAGACTATATGATTTGCCATAACACCTATGACGTTGTTAGTCTGCAGTAATTAAAACATATGTACTCAAGAGGATTAATTTTCTGTTTTTTGGTTTAAGCAAATTATATCTTTCAATACTAATGTTCTAATATTTTTCTCTTCTTTCATAATGTACATACCATCACAATCTGTTTTCTTAAATTTTTTCTGTATTTTCACAACTTCCAAACTTCTTCTTATATACTCATTCCTTATTCTGTCTAAGCTAATCACTCCATACATCCATCTCCACATACATTTTTCATCTCTTTGATTTAGTGTCTAATACCTTACTACAGTTTTAAACCATTTTACCTTAAACTCAAATATAATTTTTCTGTCGCACAAGCCGGTTGCCTTCTTCCATCTCATCCAATCATCATATAGACTAATACTTCAATAAAGTATTTTTTTTTTCTTATAATAGATATTAAATACTATAAAATGTAAATGGGATATAATAGAACTAAATAATGTTTAAAGACCCTCAGGACCTGTATACAATTTTTCTCTGACTTAGTTTTAAGCATTACATCAGCTGCAGGTTTAAGAACTTTTTTTGCAATCTCTGATATATTTAAACATAAGTGCCGCAAATTATCAAGACCAACTTGGAAAAGCATTTGAAACATCTAAGTTACAATTAGTAGAAGGATACAAACAAGTTGACACCACACTTTAATTTTGACTAATATTGATAAATCAAGAAACAATAGCCAGACAAATTTTTTTTTTATGCTAAAATAAAAATTAAGGGCATTTCTTGAGGACACTTAATAAATGTTTGATGTTTACTGGTTAACAAGTAGTATACAAATACAAATTTTCTAAATAATTCAAGTTCCAACAAATTATTATAAATGTGAAAACATACTTGTGACTTCGTCTTGTTTAAATTCCGTAAGCATAGCATGTGAGCATACTGGCTTACTGTTTTGGGTATATCGTGGTAGACTCTCACAATTTGGTAAAGAAAAATGGCCTTTAGATTTGTAAAAAATGCCTCTTTGCTTGTTCGCTTCAATTAAAGCCCATTCTTTATAGCAAAATAGTTCTCGAACAGCAATACAATCTTCATAACAAAGGGGTAAATAACTATCTTGATGGCAATGAGGAAATGCATACACACATAACAATTTCTAACAAAGGTTAAAAAACAATAATAAATATTTTATGGTATTGTGCTTAATTTTTTAGTTAACATAAAATTATTGAGAAACTAATACTTCGGCTGCTGGCTTGCAAGTTTTTGAAAAACTTGGTAACATTTCATCCCATAATCCTGCAGTAATTATTTCGTTTTGTTCGCTTCCTTCATTTTCCAATGTATTGTTAAACCATATTAGTGTTGAAGCATTCAAGTACTTTCTACACACTTTTCCATTATATTGTGCACAATACCCTTTTGAATTATCTAGAATTAAAATCAAACAAATAATATAATAACCAAGTAGCAATAATCAACAAGAATTTAAACAAAACATAATTTTAGCTTAATAACAAATAATAAAAAATAAAATTAGACTTGAGTAATAAATTATTTATACAGTTATACATAAAGAAGATGCCATTTGCAAAAAAAAAAAAACATAAAGAAGTGGTATCATCTCCCATTTTAAACTGTTTTATGGAACAAATGGCTTTTAATATACTTGTATAAGTGTAACATAACATACCAACTTGTGTAGTTTCTTTAAAAAGTACACAACATTCAATGAGTAAAATTACAATCCATTTAGCGATATCCATTTGATGTGTGGTATTTTCTTGCAATTATAATTTGTCAGTAGACTGACAATAAATGTATAATTTTACAAAGCATTTTTCTGGAAAAAAAAAGTATTACATTATTATTCAAACGGGTAAAATAATATCTTGTTTTCAATAATATTGGAATAGATATTTATATTTTATTATTATTCTTAATTATAATTATCATAATAACAAAGTAATGTATGAAGACAACCAAAGGTCATATATCTACCGGCGTATAAATACATTTTAGCTTCAATGCATAGCTGAAAAGGTATTGTTTTTATAATGAAGAGTTTTTTTTTATCTGTACCTACGACATCTTCTAAGCCACAGAATTTATTTTTTCATGGAGCAACTCAATAGATCACAAAGCATGCCTGTAATGTACTAAATAAGACCAAAAATAAAAAAAGTTCACCCCTACCCCTTCAAAATGGAGAAAAACACCAAAATAATGTACATATTTTTCTTCTTAAAAATACTCCAATTAGTTCAAAACTTATATAGAACATTCTTAAAACTAGTACCACCAATAAACATTGATAAACCAAAAAATATCATAAACCCTTTCCCTTAGAAGGGATAGAATTTTTTTCTTTATTTTACTTTTTCAAGCAAAGTTTTAGGGATTTAAATCTAAAAATTAGAACAAAGGTAGATCTAAAACGGGGCTATGACAAATACAATTTTCTTAAAATCTGTAGTCAAACTTATATTTAATTAAGAAAAATCCCCAAAAAGGGGGAAAATTACACTTTGACTGTAGTGAATTTCCGGGTTGCTATGTGTGAGTGAAGCAACAGTCAACAGGTAAGGTTAGGTAACTATAGCAATATATTTTTATATGCAAGCGGTCAACTCTAATCGTATCCACCCTTACACTAAAAATTAATTTATAAGCACATAATTTTATTTATTATAAGTACAATGCTTTTATCGATATTTATAATTTTATCTGTAAACATTAGACCTCTTTTACTCACTACTTTTACTACTTACTTACGTATAATATTTTCTTACTGTGCTGGTTTATACTATGCTTGGTTTTGACTGTACTGGTTTGAACCTACTATTTTTACAGATTCGCATTAAAGCATTTTTTCTAAAGTAATTTTATCACTTTCAGTTATAATAATTCCTGTAGACCTGTGATCTCCCCATCCCCACTATGCCCCGACCCCACTATACTGACTTTTTGATTATGGATTTTTTTAATAAAAATAATACATAATAGTAAGAACAGTCTCTCAGTCCCACTGTATTGGTTTTTTATTCATTTAATTGCTGAAATCTTCTATTTTACAGTATGTGGGAATAAAATCAGATACCTCCATTACCAAGCTAAGAGATTGACACCTTTTTAACTGTGTCATTTAAATATTGCTAAGATATAACAATGATCCTTTTACCTACTTTATCCTACGATAATAGAATTGTTCACTTACATCAGACTCGCAGTTGTTTTTTTTTTTTATCATGATTTTCTATGTCTCCCTTCACAACATGATTTATTTATTTTAGACCTACCTTTGTTATGTTAAAGTTCAACTTTAATAGGGTGCTTTAGACAAACGGTTTTTTTGAGTTTGTGAATGGGACAGACAAAAAATATAAAGTCAGTTTTCCATTGGTCCACAGGAATAAAAGTTATTGCGACTTTAAACCCCCCCAAAAAAAAAACTTATCATTGTAAAACTAATACGTTCTCAGCTAACATATCAAAGCTAAAAAACATATTTTGTTACAGTCTAATTAAAGCCTAACGGCTAAAATTATAAAACATGGAACAAAATTTAGCCTACTGGCTCCTGAATAGTGGTTATTTTCTTGTCTATAATCTCCTTGCCTTTATAATGAAAGTATAGTCTTAATTATATGTTCTGGCAAAACGTTTGCACGACGACGACGACTTGTTATTATTTCGATGGTATCTTATATGTAATTATACATTTTAAGTAGGCACGCTACTTTAGCATCACAATTTAGTGTCGTTTTTTGGGCTGGGGGGCCAAGACTAAAGTATGTTCCATACTAAAATACTTTGAATTTGTTGACCAAGTTAATGAAAAATGATTTGTTTTCAAAACAAGACAATATAAATTGCTAACAGCAGAAAGAGGACAAGTCTACTTCTTTTTAATTGTTCATGAGACAAAAAAAAATTTCTTAATATTGACATGACCCTTTCTGATGTAAACAGTAATTTCCAAACACTAGGTATATTTGATGTTTTGACAGTAGGATTTTACTCCTTTCAGTAGTAAACGATGTATTTACGTGTGCTTAGTAGAAAAACGATAATAAATTCAAAATTGATAATAATGGACTTGTCCCCTTTCTGCACATTAAACAAATTATTATAATACCTATACTTACGTGGACTATTTGAAGAACTTCCCAAAGCCATATAATGCGGCGATAAATTACATTATTTGTCACATAATATGAATTAAAATAACGATTTACAGAAAATGTATACACTACATATCTATTATTATATTATATGAGAAGATTATACCTATTCCATTAGGTATATTGAGTATTTATAAAATATCATATTAAAGTATAAACAACAATTTCTGAAAAGTGATATGAAAATAATTGGAGAATTAAGAGCTGTTGATAAGCGATGTCCAGTCTGGGCAGCCGGCTTCGTTCATCGATCAATGCAACTTGAACGGTACCAGTGGACCGTGTGTTCATGGAAACAAAACTGTAAAATAATTTGGGAAGCTATCGTGCGAGGTGACTTACTATGCAGAGTTGCTACTACTTTTCTCAAATTATTGTATAAATTACCAATGTTTATGACGAGTTTCTTAGGCCTTTAGCCTTCGCTAAACCAAAAATATTCTAGGTTTGTAGCTACGTCTAGGTCCTAGACTGTGGTCTACTGTCCTACACTCTAGGAGGAGGGTACAGGTTTAAAGTTTAAGTAAAAAAGTAAAGTTAATAAAGTTCTGATAAAAAAATTCTTCATTGGGAAAAGTATATAATGGAAGAAGTGGTCCTTGATAACGTATACAATTTGGGAAAAGTAGTGTTTTCCCACTACTGCGGGAAGGTTAGGTTTTTTTTATTAAAGGTACTTCATTATAATATACTTTTATAAATGTATTAATAATACAATTATAGTTATTTCATTTAATCCGTGCTAAAATTGCCATGGACCTAAAAATATAGTTAATATTATACGTCTACGACCACTGCACCACAATATTCTGTGACCGCACGGGCCAAGGCGCATCTGTTATCAATCTTTATCATTTCGGTGTTCGATGCTTAAATTTTTACTTTCATTTTTACAAAAGTTTTTTTGTATATAATTTTACATGTTAAAGATTGAAGGCAATTATAATGTTTTCGTCACTTCGCACGGTTTTGCGAACATTCAATGGTGTAAATTCCATAGTCGCAAGAGGTTTGAAAAGTGATTTACGCATAAAGTGGGTTCGACCGGAAAAAATAGCATGCTGGCACCCAAAAAAAACAGGCGATTTGGTTCCTATGGAACCCGTAGACATGAACGAATTTCCACTGGAATTTCGAGAATCTGAAGAATTAAAAACGTAAGATTGATGAGTGTTGATCATAGATTTTAGTTGTAATTTTCTTAGTTATGAGGCGACTAAAATTAGTTAACTATGTCTTACTTGTTTGGCGTAGTGTATAGGGTACCTATCGGCTATCTTATTTGAAGACGTTAATTATGTGTAATTCCTGTAAACATTGTATGAGATAGGGTTGTTTCTAATTTGAACTATTACTTAAGGGAAATTTACTATAATTATCTAATGTACAGCATAGGAATTTAAAGATATGTTCCAACTTTACTAATCAATCTTGTGATGCAATAAGGAAGCTTAAAACATACATATATGAATTTCTCACAATATCTTTTAGGGACAACTTTTCACTTTTTTTTCTATTTTCTAGTTTAAATATAAAACTATCCGGTGTTTAATTAAAAGTTAAAATGTTAGCAAAATCACACTCAAAAACGAAGTATAAAGAACATTTTGTTAAGGCTGCTAAATAGAAAATTGAAAGTGTGTATTAACATTAAAAACTTTAATGCCATCTCTGAGTAAGTAAATCAGTAAGACAACAAAAAAAAAATTATTTTTTTGATTGGTAGAACAGAGCTAAGAGGTGGAAAGAATATTTTGAAAAATCACTAAACTGGGTGGTACCAACTCAGCCAGTAGTGCATACCGAGAAAAAATGTGGAATTATCCATTGGTATATGTACTAAATTAGCAATACATATTTGTAGATGTATAAAAAAATTGTATTTTTATACGAAAGTGAAATATAAAATACTAATTTAGACTAATACTATTTTTTTTTATTCTTTATGTGTAAATTACCTAAAAATTGTAAAAATGTCTAAATTAGTATTTTACATTTCAATCTAGAAAAAACTTGAGCAACACCGGTAGTTACATTTCACATTAGATACATTTTTTTTTGTAGAAATGCAGTTTCTAAAATAAAGTAAAGTAATGCTTAAGTTGAATGGTAAATTCTGTTTATTAAGAGACAAAAGATATTAATGAATAAAGACAATATTCAAAATGGCTTAATTTTTATGAATTTATTGTTTTTTTTTTTCTAGGGCAAATGAATATGTTCGTAAAGTATTTTCATGTGATTTTATGGGACGTAAATCTGCTACACAGCTGGCTCGAAATCGGCTTATTGAAAAAGTTAAATCTAATAAATTGGACATAACTTCTTGTGAAGTTCAAAGTAAGGCAGTATATTTAAATAAAATGATTATGTTTATTTGTATTATTCATTCACAGTAAGACAATTAAAATAAGAAATATAATTTATATCATGATTGCACAACTTAGAACCTAATTTTTTTTCTTTGTTTGGGTTCTTTCCAGTTAGGTTACAGATTTTCATAATTATTGTGTACTGATATTTTAATTCTAGAGTTACTGTTTAATTTTGTTTTTTTTTTTATTATCTTTTATTTAACAATGTTATGGCTCAACAATTACATTAGTTATAGGTATTATGTTGAAATCAATTCAAAATATAATAAATACAACAAAAATAAATAATTATCACTTATAAAAATCCATAAATAAATACAAACTTCATTATATATAATATACCTTTGTCATTTAGAGATATTTTGGATTTTAAGCTATTCTTTATTAGATACACCAAATACGATTCACACAAAACAAAAAGCCCTAATATTTTTTCTTTTATAAAAGCATTTAAAAGTAACTTTTTTAAAAACATAATTTTCTAAAAAATAGTAAAAAAATAACTACCGTTTTAAATAATGTTTAAAATTTTTTATTTTTGACTAAAAAGAAAAGCGTGGACCCTATTCAACAAAGTCCTAAATAAATTTATCAGATAATGTTTTATATTGTTAGTTTTTTTGTAATTTAATTTGGTTCAATATTAGTATGTGACACATACATTTCATTATACTTAACTCAATGAATTTATACTTTGTTGAATAGGTTCCATGCTTTTATTTTAACATGTATATTTTATCGCTGTGGGAATGTAACGCTGGATGTCACAGAGATGAGATATTAGAGATAAAATGTCTTCCGGTGTTGCGAACTCGTACCCGCAAGCTGTTGTAAAGGGATAGGGATGGTGATGGAATTAGAGATGGAGATTGATTTCTTTGCCGTATATGTCTGCTACGGTGTTCCTGGTTCTGACCAGTTAACTTGAAAGAATGGTTAAATTGATTTAAAATAACTAATCAAGTGAATGTTGCCAATAAATCAATTAGGCCAAATTTTAAAAATCTAATAAAAAAACTTTGGCCCACAAAAAAATTGTAAAAAATAAGAAAATTAGAAATGTAGGTATACTTAAATTGACATATACTCAGTCATAAGACATACACATGTGCTTATGTGGAGTATGGATACTTTGAATTTTTTAAATACAAAACTTGTATTAAGTTTACTTTTTTACTAATTTTTTTTAGAAAAGCATGTTTTTAAAAAAGTTTTTTAATTTTATTTTTTTAAAGTGCTTTCATAAAAGAAAAATTATTAGGGCTTATTGCTTTGTTGATTTCCAAATGTAATTTTAGGTTTTCATTTCTATGAGCTATAAATTAGAGTTTAGGTAGGTTACAAAAAATTATGAAATATATGATCAAATATTATTCAAATTGAAGTTTTAGAATTTCACAAAAGAATAGTCAATTTGAACAAAATATTTTCGCTATTTTAAATGTATGACTGGTGAATCTTATTTGGTGTTTAGAATCCAAAATTTCTCTAAATGACAAATGTATAATGACGTTTGTATTTTTTTTGTGAATATTTATGTGATTTATTTATTTATTTAATTTTTTACTGTATAGTCCTATTAAAGGTACTCAATAATTGGTGAATAGATTACTAAATTCATTTTGGAATGTTAGCGAGTTAAAGAAAAACATGTAATAAGTCACAATCTCTTTTAAAAAATTAGTTTTGAAAAAATCTTATAACTATATTCCATACAAGATAAAAAAACAATCTGCGGCTATGCTAAGCACTACATCATCAATACATGTATTCGTGGTCTTTTTCTATGGATAACCTCTTTTATTTTATTTTACCCTTTTGACTTTCATTTTACTTGCATCAAAATGATTTTAGAGGAAAGCCAATCTATTACAAAATCAAATGAAAATTAACTGATGAGGATAATACCATAAAAAAAAATGAATGGGGTTATTTTTAAAAGATTAATTTGGTGTCCTAATTACACTGAATAATAAAATTTATCTTTTTTTTTGGCACAAGAACTAAAGTACATACATTTTTTTGATACATTAGCTGAGTACAAATCTGATCTCAAATTTCATTTTGTGTATTTTCAGCATGTTCATATTGTTCTGTATGTTTAAATAATTTTCTAAAATGTATTTCAGTTTAAGTATGTTAGAAATAAACTTGTGCTCTTTATTGACTTTAAGAACAGTTATTATAACATAGCACTATACAATTTAAACTTGCAACAATAAAAAAAAAATGTATTGAGAGACTAGAGTCATATTAAACTAGTCATAAGGTAAATTGTGTCATCCTTGGACTTGTGCCCACTCGAGTCCCACAATAAATACGGGTCTGGGTAATGGTAGACCAAAAAATTTGGTAAATATTATTTATTAACGTGTAGAGGTGTGTGAAGTAGATAGAAAAATGTTATAAATATTAAAAAATTATTGTCTTGTTCTAAATTTATTGATTATTTGTTTTATTTTTTAGTTGCCAGTATGACAGCCAATATTCGTAATCTTCAAAAACATTATGAAATTGCTCCAAGAGATAAAACATCTAGAGTAGCCATGAAAGAAATAATTGAGAAGCGTAAAAAAAGATTAAAATACTTAAGAACATGGGATTACCAAAAATTTGAATGGTTATTGGAAAAATTAGATTTAGAGTATCGACCTCATCCGTAAGATTTTTTTATTTAAAAATTAAAAGTGTTAATCAATTTTATACATTAGAATATATTATTATTGCTTTCAGTGTATATGAGCGAGTAGAAAGAAAAAAGTCCCTTCGTCGTCTTACAGCTCAGTGGTGTAACAATTTAAAATCAGAAAAATTAAACAAATATCGTAATGAATTAGACAATGAAAAAGAATCATTCTTGAAACATAAAATAGAAACTCTAGAGTGGGCGAGAAAAGAAGAAATTGAATGTGCTACAACACCAACTATAACCGAATTCGATATTGAAGTAGCAAGAAAACAATTGGAAGATTGGAATGCTTTTAAAAATACAAAGGAAGAGAAAAATGATTAAAAACGTGTTTTGTAGAATTTAATTATATTAAAAATAAAATAAGTAATAAATCATTATGGTTTTAATATATTATTTTATCTATCTAAACCTTAAGCAAAGAAAAATAATTTAGATGTACAAATATTATTTTGTCAAATCATATTAATAACACTGTAGTAATTTTAGTTGAGTGCCACAACATTTGTGATAACTTGTATATTTATCTGAATTCTAACAAAGCTGAAAGGGCAATGTCTTTGTTATTGTTTAGACTAATGACTATTCCAGTTCATAATTGTTTTATGTAAACAAAGATGATAAGTATTAAAATATAATTTATTTAAGATAGGTTCGCAAATGTGTAAAAACAATTTGTAAAGACATAATTAACATACAATTCTATAAATGTTTCCAAAGTATTCTGTTTGTGACTGAATACACACTTCATTCTCTATAATATTTGTAGTGTCGTTATGAAGGACAGTGTTAATTATTTAAGAATTAAGAAGTTTCTTTTTTAGATATGAAAGTTTTAAATCTTAATTTTTTAATGTAAAATTCTTTAGTGGCTCCTTAAGACTAACCTAAGTTTGTTAAAGAATAAATAAAGGCTTTTGACGTACCTCTTATAGTTGTGGAAAAAAATTATTATGCCATCATTTATATTGGTATATTGACGTTAGGTTTTATTTTACAATTGCGATGTAAGTCTGATTTATGAAAACGTTTATATACTTTATTCAGAATAAAATTATACCAAGCTCTGGGTAGCAATTACCTATTCAATTCAATGTAATTATTCAATGTAATAATTCAAGCATTTAGTGTATTCTTATTTTTGGAAAAATGTCTTAATTATATTCAAAATAAAATTTTTTTTAAATATTGTGGATTGTTTAATGTATAAAAATCAGATATTTTCTTGAGATGCACACAAGCCAATTATTTGAGTAAATTATATTTTACTATCCAAAGGTTTGTAGCATCTGAACAGCTTAAAAATCATTCTTTATGATATACAAAAACTAAAAAAATGAAAATGTCGTGGAAAGTCGTTAATTATGGCTATTGACTAATTATTGCGGATGATGCGGAGTACACTACTCCTATTCCACCATCTGTCCCACAAATCAGCTGTTCGATCATAATAAAAATACGCAGCAGCAGGAGCAGCTGCTGTAGCTAACGTCGCAGATGATAACGATTTTGCATTTCGTATTTCCTTTCTTACTATTGTTGATGTTATGTTATTCATGATTATAATTTATAACAATAAAAATATATCTTACAAACTACAAGTTATTGCTCCGTGTATATTATAATAAGCAGCCCAGTTAATAATTTATCTGTTGTTATTTTTTTTGTTTTTGCGTATCCACAATTGAACGAATATCGGCTCATTGATATTTTATGCGACTATAGTTATTATTTTTGTATTGAACTAATAGTCTATGAACGACTATTGTTTTCTTATCATTATAGCACGTTCCGCGTTCGATTTTAAAAGTGGACGCAGTTTCAATAATTAAAAACAGTCATGTAAAATTTCGTCAACATGGATAACATAAATATCGTATCGTCGGTCGCTAATGGATTCCAGTAAAAATGGTATGCACTTGATTTGAATTTAATTACTTACCCTTAACACGGTTAGGCCATGATGTACATTGACTGACGAAATCGTTGCATCATTATTTACAAAGACTAGTATAGCAGCATTTCTTTGGTCATTTATATTATTTTATTAAATATTGTGTTTCTATTCATTTGACAAGTTTAATTTATGTTGATAGATTTAAATTAAAATTTTTATTTTACAACTACTATTGCATCTATTCTTTGTCCATCACGTCGTTTTCAAACATGCTGTCTTTTTTATTTAGCCAAAGCATTCATATGTTATCATAAAATGTTTTTTTCGATATAACTAATTATGTATTTAATATTAATTTCTTGACATGGTTCTATAGTTGCTTTTTGTGAGACATTACATGATAACCAAAACATCAAGTTCTTTGACCCTGAAAATACAAATTAAGCTCTTGTTGCAAAATTTGTATGTTTATAATTAGAATTTATAATATTATTATTATTTTGCAATACATTTGTTATATTACTTTTTGTATAAAATGATTATCTTTATAAACACTTATTATTAATGTAATAACAAGTGTTATTTTAATGATTCATATTATTCAATCAATAGCATTGTATATAAATAGACCTTGAAATATTTCAACACTTATTTTAAGTTTTGTGTAAATGTCTGATACTATCATTTTTAAAACTGTTATGGAAAATTTCTCATACTACAGTTTTTAAATTCCTATTGCTTACAAATTATAATATTAATTAAACTAAATGCAGGAAATAAATGAGGTATTTAATATCTTTTCGAGGTTGAGCGTCTTAAATTTTTTTGTGTTATGGTTTTTTAAGAGTGTTAGATTATTTTAACTACTAGAACGTATGGTGGCTAGTCTCTAAAGTAAAGCAGCCTGACGATAATTAAAAAACATTTCTTTTTATTATAAATTAGGCAAAATTTTAGCTTTTAAAATATAGTATTGAATTATCTCTGCCAAGTAGCATGATTAAGTTTAAAATTAAAAAAAAAACATGTATAAATTATGTATGTTTTAGGACCGGTTTTAAAATCTGTATACTGTATAATGTAAAACGTTGTACATTATCTACGTATATTGTTATATTTTAATAGCTTTAGTATATTTAAAAGTTAATAATAAATATTGTTTTTTTAATTTCGAGTGCTAACTTATTATTTTAAAAATGTGTGAGTACAAGTAATCAATAATTGTGGCATAATACATTCATGTTAGTTGCGCAACTAAAACACCAAACTAATTTTTCTAGAATGTTATATAGAATTTAAAAATCTTAATTTCACTCATTATTAACTTAATTATTGTTGTTATTATTATTATTTATCTAATTATTTGTATACATTTAAAATCACATCTTTATTTTTGCTATGGATTTTAAAGGCTTCTTTGTTAAAACCCTATGGTCATTATCAATAATTTTCACTGTGTGTTACTTGGTAGTGGTATACAACTAATGTCTGGTAGGTTGGAGACACAAGTGTGGATGTCATTCTTAATTGGAGTAGATTCCTGGTGGTGAAAACATGATGGTGCGTTTGGACAATGTCAAATGTAGTCTCTGAATTTTTAACACCTCAAGAAATGTTAAAAAAAAAACATAACAACATTACCTTTCTAATAATGTTTATTTATAAATATTTAGTATTTTTTCCGATTTCCATTTTTTATATACTAAAATGTCACCACTCTGACCCCACTATACTCATATGGTTTTTTTTTTTAAATTTAATGTATTAATGTGTTTACTTTTTTAGAGTATGAATTTAAACTTTCTGAGAGAAGTAGCATTAGTGTGCTTGTACTTAGTACACTATTCACAGACAAACCTAATGAACTTATGACAAGCTAATATAGAAGTGGTGACAGAGAAGGAATTGCATGATAAGTTCTATATTCCAGTTAAAAAAATTGATGAACATGGAAAATCTATTAGTATATCATGTTGACATCGGCAGGTGGATCACATGTGATTTTAGCATGCTAAACAAAACGTAAGCCTATAATCAAATAAAAATTAAACGAGTAATTAAAATTACTTACTTATTCTGTTGTAATGTACTTACAGTGTAGCTGAACTAAAACAGCAAATTGAGAAAAAGACTGATATTCCTGTAAACAAGCAAGTGTTACTAGTCAGTGGCGGAGGGCATTTAGATCCATCTAAACCTGTTTCGTGTTACTGTGCGGGTACTGATACAAGCCCATTTTTCTTGTTTAGCAAATCACTAATTGATCACTCTGATCCACCAACTGCTTATTTTCACAACAGACCTGGTATGTTTTGTGTTAAATGTATAATTTTCTGTTTCTCAATATCACATTCTATTATATTCATGTTCTGTTATGTTCATATTTGTGTAGACATTGATTTTATTAAAGAACATCGTGGAACACAAGGGATGAACCCTACAATTGAAGCATTAAATGTACGAGTTACTTTAGCTCAACAATATAATGAAAATGCCCAATACAATTTGAATTGTATAGATATTTTGATTAACGATCAACACATGATGCATCAAGGTAAGTTTTAAAATGTTGTATTCTAATAAATATTTTACAATTGTATTATATTTAAGGTTGGTCAGCGGCTGTGGCAAATATGCTTGATACCGTAGAAAAGTTCAAATTTAAAGCTGAAATATTTGAAAATGATTTCAAACGTTACCTAGAGGGTCGAGAAGAGAGCATGAATTTACTTAACAAGTATATAAAAACTTTATTTTCTGTATTGTATATATTACCAAATGGTAAAATATAAAACTACTGTAGTTAAAACTTACATTATATTTTTAATTTTTAGTTTCAACAACATATTGTCAGAAATTGCCAAAATTCCTATGTTACCTGCTCTATTAGAAAATAATGCGGAAGAACGAGCTCATATGGATTTGTCAACAGTCAGTATGAAAAATGTAAACCAATCACTACTTGAATGGGTAACTGCCCGAGAAGGATTACACAACTTCGAACATATAGTAGAACATTGTGAGCATAGTCTCAAGCAGGTAAGTAGTGTTAGCTTAATGTCTTTACAATGTTAACAATATTTTCTTAACTATGTTGTATTTTAATAAATAGTTTGATGAGAGTATGTTGAATGCTGTTCTACAAGAAGTAACGGCAATGAACAATATCTCTAGTCGTAGCGATTGCTCTGAAATAAAAGGATTAGAACACAGATTATTTAAACTTGCCCAAATGATGGATGAAAGTAAACGACTCGCAGCTGAACAAAGCAGTCTCTACGAAGTAAATATCTTATATTAATTTTAAAAATATAATGTTAGTAGTTAATTAAATAGTAGTTTTCAAATAAAGAAAAAAAACATCTTTTCAAGTTTAAACCAACTCTTAATTATATCAATTAATTTTTATAATCGAGACTGAATTTATAAAGCACTAGAAAATGTATCAATATGTATGCATTCATGCACAAAAAACAAGCAACATATGTTTTAAAACGTGCACTAAGTAAATTTGATGCAAAAATATGATCTAAATAATTATGGGAGTAAACAATTACGTGTTAAAAATTATTTAATCCTTCTTTATTTAAATAAGTATTATAATTATAATTTTTAAACTGTATGTAATAGTGAACAAATAAATTGTTGTATAATTCGGTTTTCCATGACTTATAGTTATGCAGTGTATGTAAAAATAAGAAAAACAAGTAATTAACTTAAATAATTTAATAAAAATAGTGCAAATATATGTGCCTAAGTATAAATATGCTATAGCATGCAAAATAAAATTTTATTGACACATTTTTAGAAGTATAAAACACATTTTAATCAAATAAATTTCTTTTATGGAGAAGAAAAAACATGCAAATTCGTTAAATTCACAGCCTTGTTTATAATAACCAATACATTGCTATTGTTTAAAGTCATTAGAACTAATGTATATTTTGAAAAAAAAAATTAGGAAGAAGGTCTAACAGTTTGCCTACAAATATTCATGGGTCATTCCTTGCCAAATCACCTAATGTGTGTACAAGTATATATTTGCTGAATACCTCAAACTTGTATATCCTATTCTGATAAGTTCCTAGGAAAGAAAAAGTGCAAAAAAAAAATGTTTTATATATTTTTTACTTAGTTGATGCAATATTCCATAAAAAAATTTCTAAAAACACGACCCAGTTACCTAATGAGTAGTTATAACATAAAAATTAAACTTTCATTGAACAATTTAAATTAAGTGTCTTTTTATAATATCCATAAACAATTATTTCTCAAATTTTTAAGTAGCTTAAAATTTAAAAACTAAATTCTAAGTTTTGTTAATTTTTTTATTTATTCTCACGGATGTATAAATAACTTTAACCCAAATTTTACTGAAAAGTGCTGTATTTTAGAGCTTAAAATTCCTAAGGATTATAAAAAGTAATGTCTAAAAATTCTGAAATGTGTATAGCACTTATTTATTTAAATAAAGAAAGTATTTGGTGGAAGTTTGGTAATCGTGACTTATGTTTTATTAGTTATAACAACTTGAATTCTTTAATTTCATTTTGCAGAACTTTTTTTTTGTAATAATAATAAATGTGTTATCAAACATTTGTTACAAAATATTAATTTAACCCAAAATAAGTACAATATTTTGGTGACATGAACACTATCATAAATTAATTTCATTCTGTGGAAAGAAACTGCTGTTTACGAATTACTAGACATCTTTCAGCATTTTTAATAACGTTCTTCTAATTTTTTTTCTAAATTAATAGATACCTCTGTTATGGGAATGTATATAAAGTCGATTCCTTTTATATTCGACTCTAAACATTCATACTTTTTTATAAGAATTTAAAAAATGATTATTCGACGTTTGTTGCAAGCTAGCTTTATACACTAATCTTTTAACAGTCTCGCCTATACCATCACATCAGCACATACTATTTCCTGGTATTTAAAAAATCCACAGTTAATATAAACTAAACTTTTATTATAGGCTATAAAAATGAATCACGCTAAAGCAGCCAATGAAGGTGATGTATCTGTTATAAGTGTGCTTTTAGCATCTCACGACAAACAATTAGAAATGATGAATAAAAATAATTTAAGATTATGTGACATAAGAAACAGGAGCATCAGAGCCAAACAAGAACTTTGTTACAATTTACACCCACGTTTAAAGTAAGTTGTAATTAGTTAAAATAACTTTAATAATTTCAACTTTTTTTTCCAACATACATATTATTCATAATTAATTCTTCATGTTAATAAAGCTTTTATGAATTATAAATAATCATTCTAAAATTTGTTTACTTATAGATGGCTAATTGTGGTAGAAAACAAAGTTAGTGATGTTGAAGCAATAATGTTGCTGTACAGTGACAGCATAAAATTAACACGTGAATATTTGGATGTAGTGGAACAATTAAATAACACACCGAAGCTATATTTTAATGCTGTAGCTGAAGTAGTCAGAAGGCGTATATTTTCCCAAGCATTACTTATTGTACGTACAATATTTTTTTGTTTTATGTTCATACATTTTTTTTTTCATGTATTATCTAGCTCTTATGTCTATTAACACATATATACCTTAAAATTTAGTGGTCTAGTGATCTTGCTTGTCATATGATTGCCCGTCATTCAGATGAAATAGCTAAACGTAAAAATTTTCATTCTCAATTTGAAGGACACTTTTTGAATCCTTTGTTTCCTGGATTAGAAGATATGCCACCACCGTTTGCAACTCAAGCGCCTTCTATATTTGATAATAATTTACCTAAGGTACTGTTAATTAATTAAAATTCAATATCAAAATACTAAAACTCATTTATTATACATTTTTAGCTTTGTCTGGAAGATCTAGATTTATTAATCAAACAACTTCCTCGTATAGCTAATATAATATCAGTACCAAATTTCAATGCAATAACACAATTTTTTCTATCAAAGTCAATACTTGAGGATGGTACTTTGGCAATTGAAGGCAATAATGATCATAAATCTGTGGCTATGGAAACGAGTAATGTTATGATATCAAATATGGACATAATTGAAGAAAAGCTAAATGAAGTAATGACTGCAGTTGGTCTTGGATCATGCCAAGTTGAAATGCAACAAGAAACAGAAGTAGTCAAAAGAACACATTCTGAAATGTAAGTTATAAAGTACATTTATTAATAATTGTGTTCTCATATTTAAAATACTTGATATTTAATGTAATAACTTGTAAATGTTTTTAAAAAAAAAATGTTTTATATATTAAATACAATTGTACAATATTAAACTTGATTGTACTGTTGTAGAAAAAAAATTGAATTGTCTAATAAATATAAATCTTATTATAAAAATTTAATTTTAAGCATAAAAAATAACTGTAGTGGCAGGCGGGGGAGAAATGACCACCTGTCACTTGAGGTAGCGCTAGGTCGTTAGCCAGCTGTAAAAACCCTTGAAAAATAGCCAAATCTATAACGTCTGAGTCCCGATTGGACATATTAAATACAAAAAATGTGAAGAAGAAAGCATAAAAATAATTGTAATTTTTATTCCCTCAAATTTGTGATGAAGTAGTTTTCCTTTTTAGGATTATATTGTTTAAAATTTTAAATAAAAAATTATTTATAATAAGTATCACGTGTAGTATAATCAGGGATTCAGGTTTAATCTTATTTAGGTATGACTTGAAGAAGTACATATTTTTACTTTTATAACTGTTTTTAACTGGTTTTGTTATTACAGGGAGAATGATAGTTACAGTCCAGATAGTAGTTCTATGGTGCCTCATAAGTATATTGGGAGTCAAAATGAGGTAAATTTTACTTTTAGATGCTATTTAGATATAGGTACTATTTTTACACTATAATTGTACTTAAAATTTTGTTAATTTTTTTAAGCATGCTATTCAAATACTTCAAAACAACCTTTACACTCTGGGAAATGTTGCAAATAATTCAATTAAATCGTTACGCTCAGATTTAAATGAGTTTAAACAATATTTTGTTGATCAAAACTTGGAAATGGACATGTTAACCAACGATTTACAACTAAAATATAACATTCAAAATACCCAGCTTCGTCAACTTATGCAAGTTAGTACTAAAAATCAAGTGTCCTAATTAAAAATCTGTATTTTAAAATATTTATTTGTTTAATTTTATGCAAATTTTAGTATGTTCAAGCAAGTAACCATAAGATGAGTCAAATGAGGAATCGAATGAATGAGTTGGAATCTTTGTTAGAAATTCACATAAAAAATGAAGAACATGAACGTCAATTACGTTTAAGACTTGAAAGTGAAAGAGATGAGTGGATGCAAAGAGAATTGGAACATGCTCGAAAAGAAATATCTAATGAGTTGACAATGGTGCATAAAAAAGAACTTGAAATGATGCAAGTACGATTTAAACTAGTCACTCAGGCTACAAATATGGAACGTAGTTTAAGTGAACAGAGTTTAGAAAAGAACAAGGTTTGTACTCTTCACTGTGTCATTATTATTATTATTTAGTATTTATTATTACTCCACACAAATGTTTCTATAATATTTGTTATTTTTATTATAAAAATATTTTATATTTTTAAAATCAGCTGAGACATGATGTAATTGAGCTTGTCAACCATGAAGCAATGATGGCACAGCTAAAAGAAGACCTACTATTAGAAAAAGAACAAGCCATTCAAGAAGTTCAGCGAAATTGCGAACAAAAAATTGCTCGAGAAAGACAAATGATGCTAAACAAATGTGACGAGAAAAGGGATGACCAAATAATTGTAAGTAATAATGAACTCTATTAAAATCACAGCTGTAGCACATCTAAAATTTTTGTAATAAATGCAATTTAAATAATTATTATTAACTATTTTCTTATAATATTTAGGTATGAAGTATTCTTCTTCTTCTGGGCTTTTACAACCCTTTAAGGCCCATCGCCGCAACAACATATTGTCTCCAACCCTCTCTATCATTTGCACATTCTTCTGCGTTCCTTACGTTCAGAAGTTTCAAGTCTTCTTGTACTCTATCCAACCATCTTTGTCTAGGGCGTCCTCTAGGTCTCTTAGTGTCGGGTTTCCATTTAGTTATTGATCCAATCATTCCCTCTGATCTCCATACGTATCCCGCCCAACTTATTCTTGTGCTCTTCAGGGACCCAATAATGGTAGGTTCCTTATAGAGATTATCAAATTCTTCGTTGTTTCTCATTTCATACTCTCCATCGTTATTTCTCTTTGGACCGAAGATTTTCCTTAATATCTTTCTTTCAAACACTCCTAACTTTCCTTCATCCGATTTTGTCGTGGCCCATGTACCACATGCATATAGAGCAATTGGTTTAATTATGACTTTGTATAACGTTATTTTAGACTTTATTGATTGTTATCTTGATTTGAATAGTTGCATTAGACTATAGTAGCATCTATTTGCTGCCATAAGTCGTTTTTTTAACTTCTTTGTGGCATTTTTATTGATCTCTGCCCCTAGGTACTTAAAGCTTTTTAACTTTTCAAATTTGTATTCATCAACTTTTAAATAATTAGTATTGTGATTTCGTCTCGAAATTATCATATACTTTGTTTTTGACTCATTTATCTACAGACCAATTTCTTTACCTTCACTTAGTAGGATGCTAGTTGTGTATTTCTCAGTTCATTTTCTGTTTCGGCTATAAGGACTATATCGTCAGTGAAAGCTACTACGGTTAATTCATTATTGTTGTCTATTTTTATTCCTTAAGCTTGGATTTACCTAAGGTATGAAGTATTATTTTAATATTATGAAGAAAAAAATATTTAATATAGAGTTCGATCTAATTTACGTAGTGTTAAAGACAATTGTGCATTAAGTTATTGGTCAACAAATGGCCTGTTAAAAAACAAATTGTTTCTCATAATTGGCTTGTTAACCATAATATATATGTATTATTTAGTCTAGTCTTTAGGGCATTTTCAAATTTATTTATTTCTATTTATATGTATTACAAACTTTTATACCAAAGTATCAATCTATGCATGACCATTAAATCGTTTTTAATACTAATAACAAAAACTTTTTTTTATTAATTTAGTCACTTTGGGGTGATAAAAACCGAACATCAAAATATTTTAAGGAAAAGAGTGGAAATGAACTTAAATCAACAAGTAAATTTGGGCTGACAGCAAAATCAAACAGCATTGCAATTTCAGATTGGTAAGTGACTTTGTATGAATAAGTATTGATTGTATATTAATTATGTTAACATATTTCTAATTTCTATTCACTTTTAACTAATCACGTTTTGTTGTTTTTTTTATTTTTAGGGAACTTGACAACGTTTCAGCAACTAATAGTGTTTTTGTTGATCTCGTAAGCTTGAATTATATAATTTACTACTAAAAATAGTTTGAATTGTTTTAACCTTATTCTGGTACTTGTCTTTGTCATCCCGACTACTACTTTTACTCAATTTTACACAATAATACTCACCCATGTATGGTCTGAATTCGGCACATTAGGAAGCTTAAAGATTGCCTTAGACCGTCTTAGGAAGTTACAGTAGTTTTGTACTAATCGGGTTAATAATGGAAAAATAATAATAAATTAAATATACCTACAAATGACAAAGGCAGTTTTATTTTCTCAAGAACATTTTAGTTTGTTAAAAAAATTATTATGGCCATTGTGGAACTTTACTTTTGAAAGTTTAGTTTTTAGGAGTCTTGAAGTTATCTCTTTAATATCAGATAGTCAAGATAACAGACAAGTACCCTATCTCATTACCATTACATTAGTGATAGTGGTTTTCATATAATATTTAACAACTATACAATGCTTATTATTTTTTATTCTTACTAATATTTAGCTACATTTTTATAGAGCAAAAGTTCCAGTTCTGAATCTGAAGAAGGAAAACTTTCAATTAGCTCGTAAGCATATATTTTTTAATTATTAGATATTGTTATGACGAAAATGTATATTAACTACATTGGTATCTTAATATAATTTGTACATGGAGTGATAAAGGGCCAAAAAGAGTTAAAATATGCTCTTAAATAGTGTATAAATGTAAATTGTATTGCTTACAGATGTAATGTTGGCGATTTTGTTTTGGTTATGTGGGACGCTATGTATAAAAACTATGTTGTGTATCAAGAGAACAAAAAGACTTTAGTCTTCTTACATCCAGACAGTATAGATTCATTATCATTAAAGATTAGTTCGGGTAAGTTAATAAATATACATTTTTTTTTAATGTTAAATAAAAGCATAAAAATTATATCATCATAAAAATAATGGGTGATTATTATTAAGAAGCATACGTTGTGTTAGGGGTTGGCCTTAGATGATATTTTGACAATCATCATTTGGCTCCAAAAGATAAAAAAAATTTCTCTAATTTTTTTCAGATTTTTGTTTTATCTCCTGAGTGTCTCTGTTTGTACATCAAGCTTTTATTCATTATAGAAAAATATACGAACTTAAATAAATTGTTAATTGAGTGTACTAAGCAATTAGTGTTTTTGTCGAATATTTATAGAAATCACACGAATCAACTGTTGATTACAAATATTTGATATATTTTAATCAGATTATGCTTGCTTGTAGTAAGTTTGATTTAAGACTTGTGTGAAATTTTATATGATTCTATATAATTATACATTTGATGGGCGAACAGAGACTCTGGAGATGAGATCTGAACAAATTTTAATAATATTTATTTTTCTATTTCCTAATACGGGGACCATCCTAGTGTGCACAAAAAAAAAACCTTAAGACGAAAAAACGCCCTAGGCATCAATTTTTATTATTTTTCATATAAAATTTTAGTATAGTAAATATGATACAAATATTTTATAGGCAAAAAAAGTAATTCTTATTGTCAGGCTATCTGACATGTTAATAAAACATGACACATTAGCATTAGGTCAACTGTATTTTTTTAATTATGAGGGGAAGTCTCAAGTCATGTGGAAAACAGTTCCCCCTCATTGGTTCTGTATTATAAAAAAAAAATTTTCTTTTTAATTAAGTAATACAAAGAATAAAAGAAAACTCAAGATTTTGTACCACCCAACAAACATTTTCATCTTATTATAGTTAATATAAATATTAAAATAAATAAATATTGAAACCAAAGTAACTTAACTACAATTTATCATAGAACAATATTTTTCAAGTATTGCCAATATTTTATTACCAAATAAAGTGTGTACCGTGACCATAATAACATATATATATATCGTACAATTACCTTTAATACCTTAACAATACAGATTTTAAATAAATTCCATTACAAATTATTTAAATTATAATTATTTTTATTAATTAAAAGTTTGAATATGTTGCTCATGCTTTTTATCATTTAAAATGTATTAGTTTTGAATTGTAATATAAATTTGTTTATATTGTTGATAAAATCTCCATAATATTTAAAAAACAATGTTTTTTTTAATTGTTTAGATGAAATCCCAACTATACACCATTTTTCCGCTGAAGTATTACAAAAAGAATATTGTCAAGCAGTGAAAGTAATTTCAATTCCTATGCTTTTATAGTATAAGTTTTTTAGTATTTAATATTATTTTTTTGTGTGTTTGTGTTAATAGGAGGAAAATAGATATAAAGTACCTAAAGGAACAAAATTTTACAGAGTTAAAATACAATTGCTAAAACCACCAAATCCCCCTAAACGGACAGTGTCGCTATCAGATAGTTCATGTCTCTCCGTGACGTACGTCCAATAAGAAATCAAACAAATTTTGTATATTGTGAAAACGGTTTTGGTTAATTAATAATTTATTTATACTTTTATATATTTTAAATTGAGTAATATTATGGATTACATATTTTACTATTAAAATATCGAAAACAAAACTATCAAACTAAATGATTTTAAATATTAGACCCATCACAAGTTGTATTATACTCAATTTTCGTTTAGTTTTGAAATGTATTATCACTTATTGCTAAGCTATATAATATAATATAGTTCATTAAACTATTTATTATTTCTATTTTTTATTTGAGTTATGTACATTTATTATTCTGATTCTCATATGTTAATTATATATCATTATTTATAACTATAAAATGTATTAAACGGATTTTTTTATTGTACTATACTACTATGCAGTTAATAATTATTAACGTAGTGCTAGAATTTATAAAATTACATAAACAAAAAAAACACGCTTTTGACTATATCTGTAATTGCTTTTTATTTTATAATTTTTAATATTATAAAAAATGTTATTTATCTATATATGTATATATATATAATAGGTATAATGTCTGATGCATTTATACATAGGTAAAAACATTTAATGTAATTGAGGATTTAAATTTTAAATGTCTTCTTTTTAATTTATATTTTGTTGTTTATGAACAATACATTATTTTAGACAGCTTCAATATTCGCAAACAAAAATTCGTGCTCACATTTTTTACTTATTTTGTTTAATATATTCGTTTATCATAAGTAATATCTAGTTAAATTATTTTTGTACTTAAACTTCATGGCACAGCCATCATTTAATATTTTACTACAAAATATGTACCATTATATGCCTGCCATATTATTTTTTTATTATGAAAATACATACTTTTGTTGTATAGCTTAAATTTTCTATATAATAGATATTAATTAACATTTTTTAGACATTTATTTTAGATATTGTAAAAATATTGAACAATACAGTAAATTATGTGAATAGGTTGATGTTTTCTATACACTTTTCGTAAATCGTACTGTTTATTCTATAGTCTTACATTTTTTTAACAGCAATTCCTTTTTAATTTATGTTTTTCTTATATTAGTAATACAATTGAAGCAATTTTTTTTTGTGCAATAGATATTTACTGTGACATTATGTACATACAGCCTAAGATTAGATTAAGAAAGATTAGTCTTATTTGTTGTTTTTTTAGTTAAGTAAAAATATAATTTATTATATTATCATTATAATTTGTAATAAAGTTGGCTGTGTGTATTTTTTTTAAATTGTTTTTTTTATAAATTATTATTTTGGATAATAACTTGCTATCCTTAAAACATGTTCTTACATAATTTGTTGTCTTCATTAAATCATAAAATCACAAAAAAAAAAACAAAAAATCTACAGTAAATTTAATTGTTTATTCCATCAAGTTATAAAATTATACAGTGATTTGTGTAGCTCCATCATACAACTAAAACTATGCTAAAGTAGCAGCTTGTGCTCGTCTAGCTCTAATCTCTGCACGTTTAGTTTCTAAACTTGTCCTTTCATGAATACGTCTTTTGTATTTAAGTAATTTGATTTCTTTTTCTCTCTTCATTCTACCAGATTTCATACTTTTGTACAGGTTTCTGTACTTCTTTTGGATCATCTTCTCTTTGAGTAATTGAAGTTGTTTCATTTCACGCCTCAATTTACCTTTGTTTACCATTTCAGGTGCACCAGACTCTACCTTCATTTTTTTGCGCTAAAATTAGAAAAACTTAAGTATACTGTGCTCAAACAATTATTTTGTACCACTGCTTAAATAGTAAATACCTTCATTGCAGCTAACTTTTCTTCAGTAATTTCACCATCGTAGTCATCATCATCATCGCTTTCATCTGCCTCCATTTCTTCATCATCAACCGATACTTTTTTGTCATCATCTATGTCCTCAATGTCATTGTCAGATATTTCATCCAATAGATCTTGGTCTTTAAAAAATAAATAAATAAATAGTTTTTTCTAATTTCATTTATACAGATATGATATTGTTACCTGTGTTAGGCATGGCAGATGGATCTGTTAAGGCCTTTTCTTCAGGTGGCACATAGCGTTGAGTTTTGTATTCAATTGTAAATGGTGAAAGATGAGGAGGCAACGACATGCCTATAAAGTATTTTTCAACAGGTAATAATTCACGAGCATTCACACAGTCAAATACCCATTGGGGCTGAACATAGTATCTAGAAATTGTTTAATAAATGCGCATTAGCCAGGTTAAAAAAAAAAAATGTACAAATAAAAAACAAATGAAGGCCACAGGGGAAGAAGGCTAGTAGTCTCGTTTTTTTCAATTTCGAGATAATGATACCTTTTAATAGTACATTGAGACTAGTATTGAATGTTGAAATCCTATAGTTGAACAAAAGGTTGGTGGGGTCAACTTGGCGACTTAAAAACAATTGACATAATGGACTACTAATCTTCTTTCTATGTGCCCTTCAATTAGGTTAGATTAAACATATTTAGGTTGTTCAATCTTATATGTTATATACCTTATATCTTATCTTAATATGAACTTTTTTTTTTTAAGGTAATTTATGTAACTAAATGGGTGAAATACGAATAGGAATGTCTGTATGATGTAGTGTGATTTTTATACAGACATAACTTATTTGGTTTTTATAATTACCTTGAAATATATTGTTTTTCGATGTCAGGCCTATCAACAATTTGATGAGTAATTGTTTCGTCAGTTTCATGGAACAATGCACCTTCAGAAAATGTAGTTTCGTCCCAAGAAACTTTTGCGCCAAAGCACCGAAGTGCAAACACTAAAGGCTCCCTAGGTACTTCTCTGTTAAGGAAAACCTTGAGTCCCTCGAACAATTTTTTTAATTTTCTCACTTTTTCATACTCCTTGCGGGCTTCTTCTGCTTTCGCTTCATCACCTTCCTAATTTTTATTTATAAACTCTTAATTAATTTCATCTTAATAACAATGGGTTGTTACATACCATTGGGAAAGTATCTAAATCCAAATCATCTTCAGCTGGATCTTCTACATTCTCTGCAGTTTTTAGCAATGGTAAATTTAAAGCTGCCACACGATCACTAGTTTCATTGTCTTCTAAAATTTCTTGTTCGAGACTCTCCGCTACAACATAGTTTTTGATAGTTAATTAATATAACATATTTAAATTTATATTAGTGCCTTAAATTTTGATTTTTAAATAGAAACTTATACATTTTTACTTGCATCAATCCAAAAAAGGTTTTAACAAAATCAATGACCTATCGATAACCAGTTTTTTAAATATTAGTTAATAACCCTTAATTAATCGCATTTTCAAATGGTATAATTATATCCTGTGGACCAAACGAGAGTTGGGTTAAATAGTGTATAGGGTTTTGGTAGACGAAAGCAAGGAGCATTCAACTAGCAAACCTATTCCTAATACAATAAAATCTTAATATAACTATAAAATTGGCTTTAGGATATAAAAAATGTATTATTATCAACCAGACATAGATTTTATTATAACACAAGCTGTCCCGACTAGGCATTGCCCGGGATTTAGTTTGCCAGGGCTGAGTAAAATAATTACAAATAAGATAAGAAAAAAGTCAGTTCTCCAGGCTGTATATTGTAAAGCATACCCCATCTCATCTTTTTTTTGAATCTACATAAATTATGTACATTACATTATATTGATTATATCCCCCTCTTACTCAAGGGTCCCAGTCCCAGTTCCTATCATGAAAATGTTTAATAGCATCCCCAGAATCGTGGTACATAGAATCGGCCTATCCCTTTAATTACCACCTACCATTCGCTTGAGTAACGTGGTTACCATGGTTACAAACTAAGTGTTTATTTTGGGTTGGCAATGAAAAAAATATTTCGTATTTAAAGTATAAAATTTGTGTTTGAGACCACCCTTAGGGGTGAAATTTTCGAAAAGTACTATGTCAGAAACCTTTATGGGAGTGTACTCAAAAACGTCCCAAAGTTTCATGGCAATCGGATGAATTGCAAAAAGGACACACCGACAGACATACATTAATTTTTATATACATAGATAGAAGAACATTCTTCTATTAATAAATTGCTTAAGGTTTAAGTTTTAATTTGAAAATCAAAAATTTATGACAACATAATAAGTTACGGAGTGAAGTTTTTTAAGTTAACTTGTGACAGAAAGTCAACAAAATGAAAAAACTAATAGAATTGTAAAAAAAGTTGGCCAAAATTTCGTTAGAAACACTATGTTTATATTATATTTGTAATGGTAATAGCGAAGAGGCCTCTTGTAGAAATTTTCCAAAATTGAATTAGTGCTATTTTCTAAATCTCGATTGATTTTTGAACAATTTGAGATATGGTAAGTTTTTCTAGCTACAAAAATTACTAAGTTATCGCACTGAGAAGTTTTCAATTAGCAATAGTTTTTGAATGTTTGGCGTTTCTCTCAAAATCATTTATGCCAACAAAAGGTCCCTTTTCGCTTTCATCATCACATATGTATTTTTATGATTACCATTATAGGATCCTAGTCTTGGTGGATAATACAAGTTCAAACTATGATACAGACGGAAATTAACAAATCCAATGGCTGTAGAATAAAAATCGGCAAAAGTAGTCATTGTATAGAAATCCACTTCTTGTTTTTTTTGAGGCTATTAGAAAAAAAATTCAACCAATATTTTAGCAAAAAAATATTATAATATAATCCTAAAAATATTTATCACTTACTTCATGAGGATAATTGTGAGGAATTATCCAAGTAATTGCTTGTCCTTTGATTTCAACTTGGAAATAAATACCTTTGATAGATATAAAAACTTTACGAAGTGCACGAGCTGCAATACAATAGTGCATGAACTCAACTGTAAGACGGCGGCAGAGGGCAATAATGTTAGGTGATATGCTTTTTAATTTTGGAAATGTAGAGAACAAACAACATAAAGTCAAAGCATCATCCATATCTCGTAGTGCATCAATAAAAGTTGGATAGCGTTCCTTAACAACATGATCAATGTTTACACGTGGAACAGTACTGGAATATCGTTTTACCATGTCTCTTTGGTGCATACCTTTAGCCCGCTTTAATCTTTTTAAATGAACCTTCATATCAAACACAATGTTAGATGCAACAACAAATATAACAAATATTTCAACAATTTCAAAATTACTTGCAACTCCCGTAACTTCCATATCATCGGTTCGTGCAAAAGAAACAGTATGTCTTTTTTCAAGTACAATATGTGTATACCACTTTTTCCTTTTTGTGCTCGACGACGATGTGCTGGTTCTCTCGGATAAATCCCCTTTATGATGCATAATGTACGAAAATCTTTCAGCGACAACTGTAGTTTATTTAAAGCAGCCCGTCTTGTGACGTATCTGGCTCCTTCACCGGACTGAAACTAAAAAAAACAAAATAGATTGTATTAGGTTTTAGTCCATATTAATTGTTATTTTTAATAGAGCACATGGCACAAATGTTCCAGTACTTCAATACCTTTTTTTTTTTCATGGGCATTATGATGAATGATGATAAATACTACAGTTAAAAACTTGAACGTTTTAGGTATAACTCGTGTAAGTTAAAATTGAAATTTAAGAAAAAATAACACACACGTTGTTTCTTGTTTACGTATGGTCAGTAAATAAATGTACCAGCTATTGTGTTTTAAGTAGTGTGTATTGTATAATAACATTTAAGTTCTATAACCTAAAACCTAAAACATAAATGATAAGGAATACAATTCTTACCTCCACGCTGTTATCAAACGACAAGGAGTATAAAATCTGTTGTCACACAGACCGCCATTTTTAATTGGTAATTTCTTCATCGAATACACATTCATTCGATTTACACAAAATAAACTGATGTGATCTGATAGAACACAAAATATACACACCATAAGTAAAAATAAGAAAAAAATAACTATTGTTTGAAATCGGGACAAAAGCGGGACGTCGATTAAAAGTCGGTACATTTTACTGTTCCGATTTGATCACCATATTAAGCGGGACACCTGCTTGAATATCGGTACTGTCCCGCCAAAATCGGGACGTCTGGTCACACTATTAATACTACATAATGAAAAATAAAATTATTTTAAAACTTTTAATTTTTTTCATTTAGTAAAATGATTTGTTGGTTAGCCATCTAAAAAAATATCAATTTATGGATTTCAATAAATAGAATTAAAAAAAATTAATGTATATTAATTTATCTATTATAGGTATATAAAATATGTCTCTGGATAAGTATCAAATAATATAGATATTTGATTTGATGCACTGAATATTATTATAAATTATTATTATTATGCAACTGTTCAGATCTAAAAACTTAAACGATTTGCATCGAGACATTTTATTTAACCTCTCTTTGAACGTTTTTATAAGCACTGCCAAGTAGTCAATCAAAAACCAAAATAATGTTTTTATCATTCTTCTTTCCCTTTTAAGTTTTAATATAATATACAGATTGACCTCTAGACACTTCATTCGTGTTTTTTATTCTTGAGTTCTTAAACACTTTTGAACTTCTGTTAAACCACTAGAACTTTAAATTTTAATATACATATTTAATGCATTTTGCTGATGGTTAGATTTTAAACGTACAGTACGTCATTATTGGATAATGTCATAGACGGTGATTTTTGAACATATAAGAATTTTAATTCAACCAATATCAAGACATATAAAATGTTATAGGTCCTATCTACACTACACCAGACATTCGATATTTTAGCCATCTGACCTCTAGACATTACGTTATCTTTTAAACCATTGCTTACTAAGCCCTTAAGTAAGCAACAACGGACACTTAATTTTTAACCGTCTGTTTTTATGCATTTCTTTTCATCTAATTAATCTAATGATGCAAGGAGGACCAGCCACTCGAATTTTTATAGGTACATAGATCGTTTTTGATCTGACAAATAACTAGACTTACACTACAGTTAATCAGCACTTGGCATGCAAAATATTTTTTCGAAACTAGATATTATGAATTCTGATTACTAGATAAAAGTACCATGAATTATAACGGTATTACTTTAAAACGTAGTGCGTTGGCTCGACACCGTGGCCGGCGTAGCCGGGCACCCCCCTAGGAATCTGTGACCTCCCCGAAAATACTTTGCAGCGAGGGGACGTGAGCGTGCCCGGCGTAGCCGAGTACACTACCGGGAATCTGTGACCTATCCGCAGTTAGACCGAAGTTCTAGTATTTTATTTAAAATATAACCATTGCTTATAATTAACTTCAACCATGTTTGCAGTATCAGAAGATAATAGATAACTAATTCTATATATCAATTCGACCGGTGATAAATGATAATAATTAATAATACTTTGTAATACCACGGATTGTATGAAATATTTTGTACAATCCGTAGTAGTATTATTTACTCTATATGAAAAACAAATGTGAATTGAGAACCATAGAAACATAACAAATTGTTATTCTCTTTTCTGTGCTATCAATCATCGATTGGCCGTTCAGTAAGAAATAAACTTGATCTTTAATGGAATTAGTAAATTGAAATGTGTTTGTAGATCATTATTACAATATTTTACTGTCATCATTATTTCAGTATTTTCGTCCAAGGTTATTACTTAAAGTTATCTGTAAGTATTAAATATTAACCTAAAAGATTTCAATTTTAAAATTGGGGAGAGCTTAATATACAATAATCTTGCGGACAAACTTTAATTAATTTAAATTTGTTTCAGTGTTCAATATTGTAGTTATAATGTTGAGGCTTGCAAAGTCATTCTCAAAAAGACGATTTAATGCCAGAGCTTTAAGTGTGTTAGAAGCTAAGCCATTCAAAAATACTAGCTTGCAAGTTGGACAAGAAGTAGAAGGTTTTGTTGTTAAAGAAGTAAAACCAATCAGCGACTTTCAACTTACAGCTTTACGTCTTGAGCATATCAAAACAGGAGCAGACTACTTACATATTGATCGAAACGATACAAACAATGTTTTTAGTGTAGCATTTCGTACAACGCCAAAACAATCAAATGGCCTGCCACACATACTTGAACATACTACGTTGTGTGGAAGCAGAAATTTTCCATGTCGAGATCCATTTTTTAAAATGCTCAATCGTTCTATGGCTAATTTCATGAACGCAATGACTGCTCCTGACTACACATTTTATCCGTTTTCAACTGAAAATTATTCCGATTACTACAATCTTATGTCTGTGTATTTAGATGCAGTGTTGAATCCTATGTTAAGAGAATCAGATTTTCGTCAAGAAGGATGGCGCTTAGAACATACATTAGTCGATGATAAAAAATCACCACTAGAAATAAAAGGTGTCGTGTACAATGAAATGAAAGGTGTTTATTCGGATAACCAACAAATATATAATGAGAACTTCCTAAATCAAATATTACCCAGTAACACCTATGGAGTGAATTCTGGAGGAGATCCAAACGTTATACCATCTTTATCTCACTGTGACCTTGTAGATTTTCATGATAGATATTATCATCCGAGTAATGCACGTTTTTACTCATACGGCAGCTTTTGTTTGGAAAATCATTTGCAGTTTTTAAATGAAAGATATTTGCTTGAATATACTTCAGATAAAACCATTAAAGATGAGACTAAAGTACCAAATGAAGAACGATGGACAACACCTAGACGTTATCATGTTTCTTGCAGGGAAGATCCTATGCTACCTAAAGATAAACAGTCATCGTTGAGTATTGGAACGTTATGGAGTGATATTACTAATGTACAAGAAACGTTTGAGTTGGCTATACTCTCAAGACTACTGTTAAATGGGCCAAACGCTAAATTTTACAAATCTTTAATAGAACCAAATATTGGAACAGATTTTAGCTCTACCACAGGATTTACAGACCAAACTAAAGACACTTTTTTTGCTGTAGGTCTTCAAGGATTAAATGAATCTAACTTTGAACTTGTAGAGTCAGTATATGAAGAAACCATTAAATCAGCAATTGAAAACGGTTTTGATAATCGAGATATAGAAAATATTCTGCATTCAGTGGAATTGTCAATGAGACATCAGACTTCAAACTTTGGGTTGAATCTCTTGTATGGTATATTGCCGGTTTGGAACCATGAAGGGAACATTATAAACACAATGAATGTAAGTGAAAAAATTGAAATTTTTAGAAAGAATATGGCTGTAAATTCTAATTATCTACAATTATTGGTAGATAAATATTTATTAAACAATAAACATAAACTCATTATAACAATGTCACCTGATGAAAGCTATGAGGAATTAAGAAAAAAAACCGAAGAAAACTTATTAAAAGAAAAATTGGCTTTACTATCAGATGCAGATAAGGATAATATTTATCAGCAAGGCCTTGAATTACGTAAAGAACAAGATGCAGAACAAGATGCTTCATGCTTGCCATCTTTAAGTATTGATGATTTAAAAAAAACAACGGACTCTGTATTGTTCAAAAAAGAAAAGTTTGACAAAACGCCTGTCTTCATATTTCCTCAACCAACTAACCAAGTGACTTATTTTAAAAGTCTATTAAATACATTACACGTTCCTAAAGGTTTGAAACAATTCATTCCTTTGTTTTGTAACATAGCTACTAGAATGGGCACCAAGTCTAAAAATTTTAAACAATTTGATCAGTTGGTTAGAAAGTCAACTGGCGGTCTAGGAGTCTCTCAAACTATTGTAGATTCTCCCAGTGAAGTATATACTATGAAAGAAGCAGTTGTTTTAAACTCTTACTGTTTAGATAAAAATGTAAAAGATATGTTTAATCTATGGGAACAGATTTTTTCTGAGTTAATATTTGAGGATGAAAATAGGTTTAAAATTCTTGTACAAGAAGAAGCAAGTGGCCTAGCAAATAGTATATCCGGCAGTGGGCACATGTATGCAATGTTGTGTGCAGCTGCTGGAATAAATTCAATCGACGCTCAACGTGAATCAAACGGAGGGCTTCAATATGTTAGTTTAATGAAAGAAATATCACAAATGAAAGATTTGTCACCAATATTAAACAAATTGAAAGAAATCGGTAAACATTTATTAAACAAAAATACAATGAAATGCTCATTAACTATTGTAGATGACAATATTGAAGCAGTGGACAGCTTAAAAAACTTTATTGGCATAACCAATGGTAAATGGAATTTACAAAATGAATATCGTAAAGTTGAACAAAACGAAAACGATATTAAATGTTTCCATCATGTGTTACCATTTTCGGTTAACTATTGTGCAAAAGCTCTTCCGGGTGTCCCATACACTCATAAAGATTATGCTACTCTTAAAGTACTTTGCAAATATTTAAGTTCTAAATATTTATTACCCACAGTTAGAGAAAAAAATGGAGCTTATGGAGCTGGTTCTTCTATATCAACTTCTGGCACTATTCAAATGTATTCATATAGAGATCCAAAACCAGCAAAAACATTTGAAGCCTTTGACACAGTATGTGATTGGATGAGCAAGAGGAAAGTAACAATAGAGGAGTTGAATGAGGCTAAACTAGCTGTTTTTCAAGGAATCGATCATCCTATAGCTCCTATGGCTAAAGGCAATGCTTTCTTTTTATACGACATGGATGAAGATATAAGACAAAAACATAGAATGCAAGTACTAGGTGTAAAAGTTGAAGACATAATAAATTTGGCAAACTCATACTTTTCTAATGAACGTTTTGCAAAAGC